AGGCTGATTCCAGGGGCTTGTCCAGAATATTGCTCATCTTGTATTCGAAATTTTGTGTCGCGACGAGAGGATTGAGCAAGTTCTTGCCACCAGTGCCCAACATGGCCTTGATCTCACCACAGGCACCTCCGCACATGGGTTCCAAATCAAACGCCTTCCAGAGGTGATAGATGGAACTACCACCAGGCCTCGTGCCAGCGTCGATGAGGACGCAAATGTTGGGGTCCAGTACGCGGCCAAACGCCTGGAAGAACCATCTGTGAGAGTTGATCTTTTTCCCGTTCTTCTCTTTGAGGCAGAAAAGCAGCTGAACAGGCTGTCGGCGGTGGACCAGTGAGACAACATCCTTGTTTAGCTGCAGGTGTGTCTGGGTGGTGTATTCGTAGATGTGGGCAGTCACATCTTTTCCGTTGACCTGCTGCTTGGCGATTCCCTCCTGATAGACTCCGAGACCTGCCAACACGGCTCTCGTTCGGGGATTGATCTTGGCGCGACCATCGCTGACAATGCAGACGACAATCTTTTTCCAAGCGTCCTTGCCCCACGTCTTGCTGTTGGGCCGGTTGCACATATATTCAATGTTCTTGAAAACACCCACCATGGTTCGCGCAAATAGGACGTCATCCTCGTTGTACATGGTGACAACGATGAAAAGCTCAGTGTGGCGTGGCTTGCTGAAGAGCTTTTGGCGCAGGGTAAAGTTTTCGTCGTAGAAGTCCTTGGGGTCACAGGTCGCGGCCGAGTAGCGCATGTGTGTGAACTCGTCACGTTCGCCGTGGGGGTTCTCGCGTAGCATAACCGGAGGCACAGGACAATCAAGCACCAGGTTACCGCGGTACAGGAGCACCTGCTTTACCGTTTTCCACCTTTTGATGCCACCTGTAGGCGTAACAGGCCGGGGGTTATCTTCGAATTGGTTGAGGGGGGTTTCGGTATTCTGGTGGGAGAGCATCGGCCGCCGGTCGTCATAATCGTAGCCCTGCTGGTCATAGCCCTGTTGATCGTAGCCGGGCTGGTCGTATGATTGGTGCTGGTCATAGCCTTGGCCTTCCTGCGGGTGCGGCTCATATGGAGCGTTGTAGTAGGCATCGTGATGGGCCTCTGGGTTCAATGCGTAATCTGAGGGGTGCTGGCTGTTGTTGTAGGAGGATAGAGCATCGACGGAGTGCTAAGGGAAGGTCTAGTCAGCCGCGACAACTCTCCAATTGCTTGTGGGAAATGACTCCGTCGGGCACTTACAGCGGGGTTGATGTGTAGCTGATCACTCGGACTGGCCAGTCGCCCAATATCAGGCATCTGGGCGTTCTGAGGGTGATGGCCGTACGGATTCTCATCGAGCTGGTATCCCTGCTGAAGCGGGTGTCCAGGCGACGGAGTCCTGTACGGGTTACCCCGGGGATCCATCTGATGATGTTGATCGTCGTCGTAGTGGTCTGCAGAGAGAATTGGTTAGATTGCGGAGAGGGGATCGAGAGAAGAAGCAGAGCAGAATAGAGTAGAGCAGCGGCAGCAAAAGATTGAGAAGAAAGATGGTTGGAAATGAGGCGCAACAAGGCGCGCTACGGGCCTATCTGTATACGTATATGACCACGGGTAAGATGCCGCAGCCCAGGGAACGTGGGGAGAGGCTAGCCCAGAAGGTCGAGCAACGCATCGCAATGATGAAGATGTCGCAACAGGGAGCAATGCGTCGTAGAGACGATGTGGGCAAAAGTGGGTGTTCGAGATTAAGCGGGCAGGGGGGGTGAAGCCAAGGCCCGTCAGAAGGGGAAATTGGAGATTGCAAGCACATACCTAGGTGATGATACGACATGGTCGGTGTGATGTGTAAAGGATGACGAGACGGTCAATGGCGAGTGGTTGGCTGAGGAGAGTCGACAGTGCTCGCAAGTCGAGTCGATTCAAGGGCGAGCGTCTTTGATCCCTCCGCGTTGCCCCTGGTGGCGCCTGGAATGGACGAGGGGAAGTGAGGCGTGTATGTATTTTTGGAGTCGCCTTAGTTTCTGCTTGTGGTTAACGGCAGATACTCGTACAGCAGGGCTGCCAAGTGCCGCCAACAATGCAAAGATTCTACAGTAGTGCTGTAGGTTCGTATGAAGTACGAAGTGGTATTGCGGCGCAGCAACAGCTTTGCGTCTTCGTCTGATGCAGATCGAGAGCGCGCGAGAGAGAACGAGACACGCGGGAGGCCTGTGCGCACCCGAACGGTTCTCGGCTAGGCGATCAAGGACAGTCGTCGAGGAAGCTCGCCAATGGCAGCTTGGAGCATGCAAGGTACAGTACTGGTTGTTGCTCTCTCGCGGTTCCCAGGCCAGGCCGACGATCGCAACTCCGATATTGGCGTATCAACAAGGACAGTCTGCGCCTAAAGCACAGTAGCGTCTTCAGTGACCTCTTCCAAAGCCGGTCGGGTACGTACTGTACAGGTCTGGGCGGCCAAATCGAAGGGGGAAGAGGATGAGAAAAAGATCAAACGGCGGTTTCAAAGTGATGAAGTAGCAGTTTCACTGAAGCTTCTCGGAGACCAGGGCCGTGGGCCAAAACTCCTCCCCTGGCCTCAATCCGCCAGATGACCCTTGGACCAGCTGTCGGTTTCAGAGGCGCTAGTGGGGGTTTTAGTGTCTTGTAGGGGCTTGGGGAGGCAGACTCCAGGGCGTTTAGCGGGATCCTACTGGCTGGCAGCACCCCACCAAGGGCTTTATTGGCCATTGCCGCGGTGACGGGAAGCAGTGACGTCGATAAGAAGATGGGCCACATGGACGGGAGGATTAGACGAGAGAGAGAGGAGAGCACAAGTTCAGGGGGGGGGGACATATCTGGTACTACCTATTACACTACGGCATTGTGAGCTCTTTTCATCTGGTCCCTTATTATCTTAGGTACAGTACGGAGTACATATCAAAAGACCTCTCTCTGCTTCCCCTTGCTAGTCCACCCGGATAATGCATAAGCGGCACTACTAATCATGCATTCCAAGCCTTTGCGCGACATCGCCAGCTCTGATTCCAGCCGTCGTCAGCACACCGTCTCTGCATATATTCCCGTTCCCGAACTTGACAGCACCTACAAGTATTACTTTGTACTGAAAGGGCGCTACCAAGTACTACTCGTACACATGCGATGATACCCTCCTCCATTACAAAGAGTTCGCCAAAAATAAACGCCGCCCCCTCGAAAAGGTTGCCCACCATCTCGTCGCCAAGGCACAGCTCACAAATCAACAAGCAGCCTAACGAGCTCAGCCTCGCCAACCTTGTTCGCCACCCGCCAATCATGGGCTCTCGTGGCGGGTTAGCTGAGCTCAGCAGAGCCTCCAAGCCTCTGCCATCGCGCGGCCTCGTCGTCACAGCTGATGTGTCTAGTGGATCGCTAGATCAGAGCCAATCTGGGGCAAGTCTCTTTTTCTCTCTCCATCGTATTGATAAGGATCAGCAAGGAGATATTATAACGGGCCACGGCTAGTCATGAGCTGCAAATGGCCGACAGGATACTTACATGTACATACATACATACATGCTCCGTAGTGCAACTCAAGAGTGGATGAACCAGTCTCGGTGGCTCGATTCAAGGCTCATTGAGTTTGGCTACACCATCATTGCCCAACTCAACTGCATACCCGAGATCAGGTATAATCCGTCAGGCACCCAATTCTCCACCAACTTCTGCTTCCATCCCTCTTCAGCCTCAAACCTGAACCCTTCAGATTTTTTTTTTTCTTCAGCAGCCAATGCGGGGCTACAAAAACTGCCTCGCGGGGCGTCCACCAATGCTCAGGTACAATCACATGTGCTAATGAGCCCAACCCCATCGGAGTTCTTCCCGCCGGCAAGGGTATCTGCAGCTATTTAATCATCCAATCTTTTTGGCACGCCATTGAGGGCAAGCAAATGTGACATGTGCCGAGAAAAGACAGAATTGCAGTACCTAGGTAGTAGCTATGTAGTTAACCTGCTACCTTGAATCTTTGATAAACCCAACTCGTCAACGTTCATGTAGTCACATCACCACAACAAACACATTTGGCTACATTAGATACCAATCTTCAATCTGAGTTGCTACAACCATGGGTCAAGGGAAAATGAAAATTAATTTTATTAATAATCATATTCTCCGTACTGTCAGCGGCATCGAGTGATTTCTGATGCCGATATCCCAAAGTCTCCTAGTCATTTAGTGGCAAGATGCGCTGGTCTTACAGTCGACATGCTCATGGGAGGACAACTCATGATTCAAGGACTTTTTAGTAATTGCTTAGCTTGAGCCGCCAAATGCGTTCTACCCAACACTATGGTTCAATCTAACATACTAGTCAGATAACCATCCGGGGTAAGCCAGAGCCGGGAACATCAAAGATTACGGAGGGGCCTGTGTCGTGGCTGTACCTGGCCTAAACTTTGCCGTACAATCAAGCTTGATCCAGATGAAAATTAACGGCCCCTGACCAAATTACGCGTAGCGTACCTGAGCCAAAGGTCCAGACAGCTAGCCTCGAATAATTGACATCGACGCCACTAGGAACGTTGCCCAGAGTATGGCCCATCGATCCTATACCGTTGATGGAACCCAGAAGTTTTCTGTTGCGTATAGAGCGAGTTGATTGTCCAGACGAGGACGTCAACGACGAAGATGGCGGCCGCTTATTCTCAACACAAAAACCGAGAACGAGCCTGTCATGCAGCCTACCTGCAGCACCTAGTTGCCTGCGGAATTCTGCTCATTTTTCTCCATCTTCTCGGGTTGCCCGTAGGGCTTTCTTGGCGAGGTGAATAAGATGCAGGTGTTATGCATCTGGAGTTCCAAGATGAACCCGCAGCGACGTGCAAGACCCTGAGCTCTGGAAATACGATCGCTTTGACATGTAGGGAGTAATCTTTATCCTGACTCGTTTCTCGTGGAATTGTAGGGCCGGTACTCTGTGTTTTGTCTGTGTGTGTACTGGGGTAACAGAGTTGAATCGTAAATTGCCTCCATTGTCCCTACTTAAGGGCTTTCATTCGGAATTACGTGGCGCTGATTTGACTCGGCGTATTACTCATACTCTTCATCGAGTTGAGATGGCTTAAAAAGTTTTCTATTTGAGCTGTTAGAACATTCATATTCACATCACGAGTATAAGAGAAGCACTCGCCTCCAAGTCTCCAGCGGTTTGAGAATGATAGCAAAGAGTTTCGTAGAGTCCAAATATCCTCAGTCGATAGACCTTCCAAACGCAGCTCGTTTAATTGAGCGGCAGCACCATATAGACAACAGAGTCCAAAGAAGCATGGTCTGGTGTTGTTGGACCAGCCGTGGGCCTGAACCCATTCGGCTTCGTCACGACATGTGTCCATGATCATGTTATGTACGCAATTAAATGTCAAGGCCGCTTTGGGGTTATCGATCGGCATCCTGTAGTAACTTTGCTTGCGATAGAGCATGATTAAAGCACTTTTTTGTCGATCAGCAAAGGCCCTTGCAAGACAGAAAAGAACGAGTTATCGTATCACTTACCTAAGCGACATGGCAACTGTTTCACAGAGAGGGAAATTGCCTCCTTCAGTCGTATGAATATACTCGCTAATCTGATTGCATATTTCTGCTTCTACCGCTTCGTACTTGTTAGTGTCGGGTCCCAGGATATCCTTTAGCATATCGCCAAGGCGGACAGCGTGCTCTGCTCGTGCTAGCAGGTTCCGGATAGTATTCCGGCTGTAGAGGTCGATATTTGATACCTGAAAGATGGCAGAGGTTGTGGGAATGTGATGCGCTTCCACCAAATACGGCAGGCACTGGTCGATGTTGGAGAGAACTATAGTCCTACAGAAGCGGTTAATATCACATCTCGGACGATTCTCGTCATGTTTCGTAGCTTACCTATCAAGCAGGATAATACCACTCCAACAGAGATCCAATTCCAATTGATCGTAACGGTTGTGGTCCATTCCCATCCTTGATTCTGCCGCCGCGTAACCATCGATGCTGAGACGGCGAATAAGACCGATGCATATTGTCAATATCTCGTACGCCTCTTTGCTCATACCATGGCCGCATGCATATGTCGTCAGAATGATACCACATTGTAGCAAAGTGCGAGCAGGAATATCAGGAGATGTCTGTAGAATAACAAACAGCTGCCGCGAAGTGCGATATAAAACGCTTTGTGTCGATTGGGCTTGGATTTCGCAAGGACCTTCGGCGAAGGCGTGCATACAGAGAAGCAATAAGGCAAACGCATCATGATTGACTGCCTCGCACAAGTTAAAACGTGCTGCTTCGTCATAAACCGCCTCTCTGTCCAGAGTAGGTAGCCAATAGTATGCCAGATCAAAATATTTGGCTACAACATCCGTTACGCTGATGCCGCTTTGATCAAAGATGTCTCTCACAACATGATACAACGAAGGCTGGTAATAGTTGCCTTGGATGTACGCGCCAGGCTTTGAACATGCCGCCCAGAGTAAATCGCGTTCGCCGTGAGGGGAGAGGTGGAAGCGGCAAGGCCTGGAGCACGGTATTAGCATATGACTTGTGCTGCTGGCCACCGGCACCAGTGCGTGGACGGCCACGTCGTTTTTCGTTGGATAGACGCATCGAATTGCCTTCCTAACAGCCATGATATTGTTAGTAAGGTGCCTGTGGTCACGGATACAGACTCGGGTCTGGCAGATGCCTACGTGGAGCACCGAGAACACTGGGGGATGAGTCTGTCGCAGCGCTGCTTTTGACGACGGCAATTCAAGCATGTCCCTGGAGTAAAGCCGGCCCGATTAGCAGCAACTCCTGCTTCGAGTTGATTGCTGCTCGATGAAAAAGCCACATGCTCAGTCATGTTGCCGCGGGCGGATCTACAAACGACCCAATGCACAGCAGGCTGAAGATGAGGATACAACGATTGACGGAACAATTCAGGCCTCCACTGAGATGCCACTTTGCTAGTGCAATCGAAGAGGAAGCGAGGGCCACTGTATATACACCATCGGCCGACCCTTGTCAAAGATTCATTCTAGTTCCGAGCTGTTGCCTTGGATCCGCAGGCCTGAGGCGAGAGGCGAGAAAAGCTCTAATGGGATGGATGATTTAGTAATACATGTACTCTCTGGTTGCGGGTACGTACTACTCGTGCCAAACGGCAGCATCGGCAGATACAACGCTAGGTAGCTACTACATATATAAAGAGAGTCTGGACCAGAGGGTGGCTAACCAGAAACTACCTACTGGTAAGTAATCGGATTTGTTTTCCCAGATCTCAGTTGTTTCAATAGGTAGATGGTGAAGAAAGGCGGCTTGAAGGCGGCGCCACAGTTTAGGGCATTTTGTACTACAGTGTAGCGCGAACTGTACCGCGGACGAGATCGGGCAACCCCTGGCAGTGGGCTATAGGCCGCTACCCTATGACCCGAAGAGCTTCGATGATATGTAATAAATGTAGCGTAACAGGGATTGTTTGCTTATTTGGGGGTATTGAATTGTAAGTGAGGAGTGCCATTGATAAGTCAAGTGAGTTCGATGTAAACCACAACTTTGCCTTGCTGCTCTCTGGCTGGCGATGCTACTATTGCCACTATAATCTGTAAACCTCACGGCAGGCTCTCATCAGCTAGACGCCACAAAGACTTCATTATTAATGCCTAAACCAATCATTAGTTCTACATTTCCAATAAATCAGATTCATTAGCTCCTAGTGTTTTGGTATTGCCACACCTATTCTGCTGGTGATGTCAACAGTTGCAAAGATGGAAATGTGGGACAAGCCGTGTCTCTAAGAGTATCTATCGCTTCTAGAATTGTGTAAAATACCCGCACTTGCTCTACTGAATAACACTTATTAAAGCGCTTAAACGCTTTAACTCTTTACTTACCATAGCCTTGGTAGATACATATTACAATCGTGTTCAGCTAGTACGCTACCTGTCTACATCGCCAAGTCGACATTCTTGTATGTAGAACCGCTTCTCTCTACAACCGCGTGTGATCTTGGCTACGTGCATGTACTTTTGCCACTGGCCACCCCTTATCAACATGGAAATGAAGCTCCAAGACAGCGTATATGTTAGCTTGTTGATACGAGCAATCCTTCGCTCCGTATCGCGGATGTACTTAATGTTTTTTTCTCGAATCCAGGGTAGCCCCACTGGGCGGCAAACATTCCACTTGTCCGGTACGCATACATTTCTGCACTCAGCCAATACATCATGCACCTAATTGAGACTCAGACAAGACACCAAGAACAACTCCATTACGGCTGTACGGCTAGAAGTGGAACCCAATGTTAGATTACTACTGTCAAGCTCGCAATACTTGTGGCCGGATACGATGCTGAACCCACCGTATCTGCAACAGTTACCACATTACATCGCTCTTCGGACCATCGCGGGCCAATGCGGATCATCGCATGATGGGTTGTGGGTGGCCCCAAGTTTCCATGTGTCCGAATCCATGTTACTCCGAGTTGTTATAGAACTACCTGTTTCAGACATCCAGATACCCCGCGCTTTTGTAAATAGACGTACGAGTATATATAGCGCTTGACACGTCGTACTGGTGCTTGAACCGTAGTTGTTGTTCATCTATTTAAACTATTCAAAACAAAATGTCTCTTACAGGAAGTTGCTTGTGTGGGGAGGTGGCTTATGCCAGCAGCAGTGAGTTGTCCTTACACAACAATATGGCATCTATTTTGAACTTATACTCTAACTCGAATGGTTCAACAGGCCCGGCGACGCTCACGGCTCTCTGCCACTGCTCAGACTGCCAGAAGGTGCCTATGCATCGAAATAAACACTCCGCCGAATGCCATTGCTGACACCTGATAGTGGACTGGCTCAACATATACCGCAAATGCCGTAGTCCCAGAGGCGTCCTTCCAGGTTACCAAGGGTCAGCTCTTTTCCTCATTGAGAATCCAACAATAGGTCTAATCGACTTTAGGCGAGCCCAAGTTTTACGACACCATCGGTGACTCTGGAAAGAAGAACAGACACTTCTTCTGCGCAAACTGCGGTTCCAGCCTGTACGGAGTGCTGGACGTCATGCCCGGCGAGATTGTCATCAAGAGCGGCGGATTGGATAACGGAGCGGCCGACCTGAAGAACGTTGGGCTTGAGTTTTACTGCGAGAGGAGGTTGAGCTTTGTCCCACCAACAGAGGGAGCCAAACAAGTTCCTCGCTTTGGATAGACAAGAGAAAGCGAAACGGCGTATAGTTATGTCGATTACTCAAAAAATAAAATTAAAGTCTCACCATGGATGAAACGGCACCTCTAAGGCAGGAAACTTCGACCAAAAAGGTAGGTTTGACCAAATTCGAAGTTTACACTATGTGAATTGGATTTGCCCAGCAGTTGGACCATCAAATACAAGAACAATAGCCATGACTTCAAGTCATTATAGCCATCTTCTATCTGCAACTCAAATTGACTCATGTTGAGTCCTGGAAGCTGTGTTGCATGAGATGAGGGGTCGGTTGTCAAGGAGGTAATGCGAACGACTTAAGTCATTGGTCCATTTGTGTATCTAACCAAACCACTTGACGGGAATAAACAAACCCGAGTTGAGCCCATTAACGCTCTGCCTTGCGCGGATAAGTTGTATTGCGACGAGTCAGTGATCAGGAGCACAGCATAACAGTGTTAATGTTATTGAAGATAAACTGTGTACGCTGTTTGAAGAGCAGGGGCCGGCCGACCCCTGCTAGCTTCCGCTCCAGATTTAACATTCTGCTCGTGATGACAGGGGTCGGCCGATGCTTGTGGGGATGACGAGCCAATGAAGCTATGTCATTCAGATTTCATGTTCCCGAAGAGGCGTCAAAGATGCTCGATTCTTTGGCATATCTGAAATCAAGAAGTAATTAAGCTTGGTATTCTTGCAGTTCATACTGGGTAGGCGAATTTTTCTGACAAACATGACAAGGAAAGCTCCATCTCGTTTCATCTGCCGGTACTAGAGCTCATGTATTACTGTCTGTTGATGCGTAAGGCTGGACGACCCAGTCTAGATGTAAGAGAGGCACCTAATTAACCTTCAATTAATAATGCACAAAGTTTTTTGTCTTGCCTAAGTCGCCATTCAAGTGGCACTTTGAACCTTTTGGCAATGATGTAAATGTTATCCACTCGGATTTATAATTGAGGCAGACCAACACATCCAGCCTTCAATCTACAGATATAAATACTGCTCGACGAGCACCAGTACATGCCATTCAATTCCATTATAGATAACACAACACAACTCAAGCCTACGAAAAAACTTCTCATCTTCTCAGATTTCTTTATCCTTTGTCATCCATCACAATGGCTCTCCCTACTACTTCACGAGCATGGTCCATCCGTGACATCCACAGCGACAGCTTTGACGGCCTCGTTCTGCAAGAAAATGTTCCTCTCCCTCAGCTCGGCGAGCATGATGTTCTGGTTCAAGTTGAAGCTGTCTCTCTAAACTACAGAGATCTGGCCATCCCAAGAGTACGTATAAATACGAAATTCCTGGTACAAAAATTCAGGCAGCTAACTCCTTTGTCAGGGACTCTACCCATTTGCCATGAGCCTACCTGTCGTTCCTGGCTCCGATAGTTCCGGTATTGTCCTTGCTGTTGGACCCAAGGTTACCAGAGTGTCAAAGGGTGACCGAGTGTGCACATTGTTCAACGAGCACCACCAGACGAACCCCATTACCCCCGAGGCTGTTGGAAGTGGCCTTGGTGGCGCCGTTGATGGCACACTGCGCAACTATGGTGTTTTTGGCGAGCACTGTCTTGTCAAGGCCCCATCCTCTCTCAACGCCGTTGAGGCTAGCACTCTGACATGCGCACCCCTTACCGCATGGAACGCCCTGTACGGACTGCAGTCAAAGGCTATCAAGGCTGGCGACTGGGTCTTGACTCAGGGTACTGGTGGCGTTAGCCTTGCAGCTATTCAGTTTGCTGTTGCTGCGGGCGCAACCGTTGTCTCTACAACCTCCACGGATGACAAGGCCGACGCCCTGAAGAAGCTGGGAGCTTCCCACGTTATCAACTACAAGCAGACCCCCAACTGGGGCGAGGTCGCCCGAGCCCTGACTCCCGGAGGCCTGGGATTCGACCACATTCTCGAGATTGGCGGTGCCGCAAGCGTTGCGCAGTCACTCAAGGCCATTAAGCTGGAGGGTGTCATTACCCTCATTGGGTTCCTCACTTCTTCTGAGAAGCAGCCTCCTCTGATGGACGCTCTGAACCACCTTTGCATTGTCCGCGGCATCTTTGTCGGCTCCAGACAGCAGTTTGAGGAGATGAATCGGGCGATTGACTCTGCAAAGATCCATCCGGTGGTTGATTCTAACCTCTTTTCTTTTGAAGATATGAAGAAGGCGTATCAGCACCAGTGGGAGAGCAAGCACTTTGGAAAGGTTGTCATCAAGATTGTAAACTAAAATAAACATGTAGAATCATTTTCGAGTACTAGTGTGCATATTTAGCAAGACAAAGTTTTTATTATTACAGATTCTAAGGCTATATGTCTTTAATGGTGCTCATGAGCGATGATGTTATATTATCTTGCGATTACGCCTCGTCAGGTAAGTTGAACAACTGAAAGAGAAAACATACGACGTAGAACAATAAATACAAAACTATAATATCATGTAGCTAATCTGTCGCTCTCCGCTACTGCAGTGACATAATGGCATCTGGCCACTTCATCGCGCCACATCCGACAGCTTCCAGTTCTTCATCGGATGTCGCTAATCTAGTTGAACAAGGGTCGGCCGTCCCTAGCTAGAGCTGTTCGGCCCGGGGGTGCGATTGACTAAATCGGAGTATTTCGGAGTAGTCTGGAGTATCTGGAGCTTATAAATACAGAGTCGACCTGATCTACAGCTTTATAAACCCCTCTGCGGTAGTTCTGCAGCGGCTGAAAGCTGCCAAGCTGACTTATTTGTATCTACTTGGCCGGTTTCATTCGATTGCGGGGCAATGGATTACTCTTCATCTACTTACGGGAATCTTTCCGAACAGAAAAATGTCTGGTTGTGTCACATATGCAGCAGGAAAGGCGTGGCGTTAACGAGTCATTGTACTAACCTCGCAATGGAGACGAATTACTATAAAAGCCTCCCTACCGTTGATTATACATAAGACTGAGTTATTGCAATGAGATCTAGTTACAAAAGTCATTAGCGATATGGAGGAAAAGGCGCATACGATGAACAAGAAGCTGGCTGTCCTCGAGGACGATGGCTACTTCAATCTCGGAACCTATCATCGTCCCATTACAACCAAAAGCCCCGATGCTCAGCGGTGGTTTAATCGAGGCCTCATCTGGGCCTATGGCTTCAATACCCAGGAGGCATCCAACTGTTTTGAGAAGGTCATTTCGGCAGACCCGGATTGCGCAATGGGATACTGGGGATTGGCGTATACTCGGGGACCGTATTACAACAAGGCGTGGCGCTTGTTTGACCCAAAAGACCTGAAAATGGCCCTTGAAGCCACTTACAGCGCGTCACGACGAGCATTGGATCTCATCGGAAATGCTAGTCCAGTCGAGCAAGCTCTTGTCCGAGCCATTGTCGCCCGATATCCCCAGCCAACTCCGACAGACGACTACTCAGTGTGGAATCGTGCGTATGCTGATTCTATGGAAACTGCTTACAAACAGTTCAGCGGCGATTTAGACGTTGTTGTTCTGTATGCTGATGCCCTCATGAATCTCACTCCTTGGGCTATGTGGGATCCATACACCGGCAAGCCTGGTCCCAATGCTCGCACACTCGATGCTAGTGCAGCTGTCTCGCGGGCGTTGACTCAAAAGGGCGCTGACGAACATCCTGGATTGCTTCATTTACATATTCATCTCATGGAAATGTCACGTACACCTGAAGTTGCTGTTCCTTCGGCTGACCTGCTGCGCGGCCTCGTGCCAGAGAGCGGGCATCTAAACCACATGCCATCGCATATCGATGTTCTTATTGGAGATTATCGAAGTGCCGTTGCTGCCAACACGGCGGCTGTTAAAGCAGATGCGAAATTTGTCGAAAAGGTCGGCGGCATGAATATGTATACTTTCTATTGGGCCCATGACTATCACTCGTTGATATACGCGGCCATGCTATCTGGGCAATCGAGAGTAGCTCTTGAGAACTGCACTTATTTGGAGGAAGCACTACCCGAGGCCCTGCTCACAGTCGAGTCTCCACCGATGGCAGATTGGTTGGAAGCCTTTTGTGCCGTTCGACCTCATGTCTTGATCAGGTTCGGCTGTTGGGACGATATTATCAATCTTACACTACCGACAAATCAATATCTCTACTGCGTCACGACCGCCACGATCCATTACGCCAAAGGTGTCGCTTACGCCGCTACGGGGAACGTGATGGAGGCTTTGAAACAACAAACATTATTCACTGAAGCTCTAATCCGGGTGCCATCTTCACGATTGGACTACCCAAACAAGTGCGTTGACATTCTCAAAGTCGCCGTGGAAATGCTGGCCGGGGAGATTGAGTACCGCAGGGGCAACTATGAAGTAGCCTTTGAGCATTTGCGCCAATCTATTCACCTGGATGATCACCTTTTATACAGCGAGCCATGGGGCTGGATGCAACCAACCCGTCACGCCTACGCGGCTCTGCTGCTAGAACAAGGCCGCGTGGAAGAAGCGGCTGCAGCTTATGCAGAAGATCTCGGCCTCGATGAGTCTTTGCCTCGGGGCCACCAGCATCCAAATAACATTTGGGCTTTGCATGGATATCACGAGTGTCTGACATTACTGGGACGAACGGCTGAGGCTAAGCTGCTCGAGCTTCCGTTGAAGTTTGCGATGTGCTTAGCAGATATTCCTGTCCAGTCTTCGTGTTTTTGTAGAACCAATACAGGTACCTATAAAGATACGATAGAAAGCGGCGAGACATGTAAAAAGAGTGGCAGCTGTGGATCAAAATAGACTCGGTGGTGTTGTGGAATTGAATAAGAACTAGAGAGAACCTAATCTTTGTTTGAGACTGTTACTTGTATGGATTCGAATCTATTCTCGCCAGCATACATGTAAATAATCGCGCTATACAACATTGAAGTTATCGTACCACCTCTCACAAGGTTACAGCTTGGACCGGAGTGAACTCAACCATCCATTAGACTTGTTAACCTTGCGCGCGTAGGGATGCTTAAGACCAGGCACCATCAAGTCCAGGCTACTGGTATTCACAAAGTCCGGATGTGCGTCTCTCATCAAATCCGTCATGCCGCATAGGCGCATAGCCGTTTCTATTTCGTCTTTGAGAACTGCACAAGTAATCAGCATTCCGGCAAACTCCAACCAATAAAGAAGTGATACATGTACTTACTCCATGCTACGCGCTCTACTCCCTCCTGGCCGTAGCCCAAGGAGTAGAGGAATGGCCTGCCGAGTCCAACGGCAGATGCGCCCAAACAAATGGCTTTGACGATATCCGACCCTCGTCGGAACCCGCCATCGATCAAAACTTCAAGCTGGCTGAATATCTCAGGGCAATGCTTCTGCAACTCCAGCAAGACGAGAATGGTTGGCGGCGCAGTGTCGGCCGCGCGACCACCATGGTTACTGATCACGATACCTTGAACTCCCATTTTCGCAGCCATGATGGCATCGGCTGCACTTTGGATGCCCTTGACGACAATCGGCAGTTCAGTAATGCTTCGCAGCCATTTCAAATCGTCCCAACTAAATGTCGGATCGATAAATGACGATACTTGACGTGCCATACCAGCACCTTTATTGTCGCCAACCACAATTTCGGGGCTTAGACCAATTCCAGCTATCTGCAACTGTTCTTTTGACTTTACGCGCTCGTCATCTTCCCGCTTGGGGATCACGGGGACGTCGACCGTTACGAGAATGGCCTTTACTTTGCCGGTAGCCTCGATTGTGCGGACAATAGCCTCGGACTTGGACCGGTCTTTGTTGACGTACAGCTGGAAGAAGGCATGGCGTTTTGTCTCTTGTAGAATCTCGAGGTGAGTGTATGACGATGGCGTCGCGAAGCAATGCACAATACCGGCCGCACCAGCGCCTCGAGCCAGAGTCAGCTCACCTTCAGCACCGCCTGCTCGCGCAGCTCCGGTGGGCGAGATGAAAACTGGCATCTCAAGGTCACATCCGAAGAGCTTCGTCTGTGCCGTCACAGTGCCAACATTGCGCATAACTTTGGGCCGCAGCCAGATCTGTCGAAGCATGGAGCTGTTTGCGTCTCGTGTAATGTTGTCATTTGAGCCTCCTTTAATGTATGCCCATGATTTGTCCGACAGCGTCACATGTGCCGCCTTTTCGAAGTCATCCATGTTGAAAATCTCATCGAGAGCTGGCTTCTCTTGCGGTGGAGTTGATCCATACTGCTTTATGGCTTGATTGGCTGCTTTCCATTCCTCTGTTATTGTTGATGTGTCCAGTGATCCGACATGACCTTTTGCCCCCAGAGTCTCCCTGATTAATGAAGGCGAATGCACTCGGCTATACTCCTCTGTAGCGTCCATTCCGGAAAACTTGTGAATAACTAAGGGCACATGAGCAAGATGCCTTCTTATCTTTGCTGTACTCGATTTAACTTACTCTCCGGTCCGCCAGGATGCTCGGGCGCGAATTCAGTCATATCGTACACCTCTCCGTCCACGACAATCCACGCATCACCCCGCTTGTTGTGCTGGGTCACTTCCCAAGTTGAGACCTTTCTCGACATGACGTCCAGCTTTGTGTTAATGATGTTGCTGCAAAGATGAACCACCTAATGCCGAATCGGTGTGCAAATACGAGTAAATACAGAATCCGGTTGTCTTATCTCCCTGCATTCAATATTGAGACACGAGGCAGTGGTACGAAGGCGGGGTGAAACACATCAATCACGTCTATAGAGGAGTATACGCAATGAAAGAATGCTGGGAAAACTATTTGACCATGGGCTGTAATATATAGACCTAGCATACCGGTTAAAACTTCCTATTAGCATTTACTTGCCGACATCGCATCCACGCCTCGGAAAAGGATTAGCGAGACCTCCATTGCCAAATTGGTGGGAAATAGCGTGTCACTGGAGATGTGATCAAGCTGCATCTCGGATTTGTATTGTCGGTCATATTTCGTATGATTGACCAAACCAAACACCGGCTTTAACACGGGAATTTGTCAATTTGATATCCCATTTTAAGCGATTAGATAGCAGAAGATTATCCCCGTAACTTGAGCACCTAGATATTGGCCATGCGCACGCAAAACATCGGCTGCAAGGCTTCATTCTGCATACAAAACCTCGGTCTAAAGTCGACCGATTCTTGCCGCTGATGCCCCAGTTATTACACTTGGGCCGGTGGATTCATGCTAAGCTGGCGAGACTACTCCGTACATGTAGTTTGGAGAAAGCTGGGGAAATGCCATCAATACTGCTAGTTTCCGACGGATAAATCACTAGAGCCGGCGGATGGCGAATACGCCTGAGCCATCTACATGCTGCATGGCATACCAAAGTGAAGCGATAAGTGAAGAGGCATATATAGACACTTATCAGAAGAAAATAAAATTGGAATTGATAATTATCATCATTATAAAACTATGCTCAAGTGACTCTGTGAACTTTCTCTGAGGCTTTCCTTTGCTACACAAAACTTGCCAGTATAATCAGCGAGTTAGATAAATATACCGAGACTTTCTCTGGATATCATTCTCAAAGGGCATGGCAAAAAATACATATTAACTTGAAATCTTTTAATTCAGACACCATTTTGAGTCTGAGTTATCTGATACTCATACTTGAGCAAAAATTAATGTACTGCTTGAGCTGTCCAGCTCAAAGAGAAGTGTTAACATACAACTCACTACTAGGTACAAAGCGGACGCTCGCCATGTTATTTCTAGCGAACATATAGCTCAGGCAATGGTTGCACTTCAAACATTGAATTGATAATGAATTGAGGAATAGAGGCAATCGATCCGTCTACCTGCCGCCCCCTTTCTCCCTGGGACTTGAAAATTTGAGAGCGGATAGATGCATCAACACACAGCATTTGTTGCTGAATCAATCAATGCGGCAGGCAACAATTGATTTCACACCTTTAAAATTCCTCCTTCTTGGAACGAGTATTTGTTTGTGAGAGTCGCTCAGACCTTGATCATCGCAGAACCGAATAGTTTCGGCCAACACAAAGCAGCCCTGCGAGCTGAACTGTCCTTTCTACGTATAAATCGCTGGAAGCCGCCTGCCTGGTACATAGCTGTAGACGAAAAAGAATAAATGTATTCTTCTCTACAGATATAAATAATGCAGGTGCCTTATCGGTTGCCAAAGCAATGAGTATCTGCGGCCAATGAAAAGCACTGCAGCAGATGTTCGCAAGTGCTTCGGTGCCTGCCCAGCGCTGTAAAAGGGGCAGGCCCTCTGTGTGCCTGAGGTATTGAAAATTCATCTGACCTTTCGCCTGATAAATAAGTAAACAGAGAGTCCTACGCATTACTCCTCTTTCTTCCAAACCTTCCAACTCTTTGCCTAGATTTCTGCACGATTCTGTGCACGCGATTCCGCACGCTTCTCGAACTTCTACTTCAGCACAAATAACTCCATTCCTCAACTGTTCTTGAAAAATCCATCTCCATCAGCGGCTATCTGCATCATTTCTAGACTGGAAGGACCCGTCGCCACGATGCAGGGTCCAGATCCTGAGGAGGTCAAACGGGCTCTTTTGGTAAGACGAACCTGATCAGACTTCTCCATATTTCTGGTCGTCTCTATCATATCCCTTCGTTTGCCGAGTATCATGCTTCGAAAAAGGAAAAGAGAATGAATTTTCTAACTTCTCTCAACTCTAGGCCGAGCTCGGGAGAAGCAGGCAAGATGAGCTGCCGTTAAGCAATGTCGCAAAGCGACCGACGTATCAGCCTCGCAACTTAGGAACTAGCCATATCCCACAAGCTCGAAAAGAAAAGCTTGAGAGCAAATGGGGAAGTAAGTGAACCACGCTCGATTTTATTTGATGCCCTTACCAACAAATGTATAGCCAGAATCGTTGATGAAGAAAGTCAGCAAATGGAAGGTCTGGAGCTTGGTAACAGTCGCCCTTGGGCGCAGATTACCAATCAGTACATGGCACGCCATGCAGTTGAATCGTAAGTTGATATGCCTTGACTAAAAATGCTTCATGCTTCAGTTGTGCTCACATCTTCTGCTAGTGCACCGCCAAGGCTTGCGATGGGAACACACCAAGTGAGGCCCTTCGCCATTCCCAAAGCCCCCTCATCGATCAAATCCTCGAAAGGTGCCAGTAATGTTTTTGCACAGACACCACCACCCATCTCTAAGCAAAATGTGTCTCGCAATGGTCTCCAAGTCAAAGCTAGCTTAGGCTCTAATGGCCAGGGCCAGAATGTGGACGCTTCAGGTAAAAATCTCAGCAAGCACAAACCGACCCCATCGGCTTCGCACCAGGTCAAGGAACACATCCTGTCTCAGGGCGAATGCGAGATTATCGACGAGATTGACGGTTCACCTGTTGCTGCGAAATTTGTAGCAAAGGTCCACATACAGCGGAACGAGGGATTGCTAATGCTTAAACCATCTGGCAAACCTGAATCAGTATACAATGTCCTGAGCCTCGGTGTTCCAGCTATTCAAGGGCCCTTTTGCATTATCTATGGTGCAAGGAATGAGCGCCTGCACAAAGTGAAGTTGAGAACTTCCGCCGCAGCGGAAAGTTTTCAGTATTTGCTCAAGAGCCTCCAGCAATCTGCTCGGCAGTTCGGTGAAACGAGACCAGCGTCTCCTAAGCCCACCCCAGTCGTCACTGCTTCCGAAAACATACCAGCAAGTCCTCTCCAAACTCCATCGAAAGCAATAATGGAGGCACCAGAAGACGTTCCAGAGACGGCTGATGACAATACAAGAGCCGTTCTACAAACGCCACAGCCACTTGAACTACCACTGCAGCAAGAATCCCAAGAAAGCCTTCTTAACTTGGAGGATGAACTCCCACAACAGCCATCGCTGACCATAGAGGCGGCCGCAGACCACATGCAGCGCATTGTCCAGCAAATATTATCCGAGATCACTGCTACCGGAGTCAACGTCCCCGAGAAGGGCGTTGAAGAAATCGAGTCGACAGCAATCGCCAATTGGATGGCACAGGGATTCATGAAATCTGAGACAGAGTCTGACGAACTAAAGGACGAACTTGTCGAGCTCCTCCGACTACTCGTCCGTATCAAAAGAAAGGTACAGTACAGGCATGGTATCAGTGCCGGAAGCAGCGACATCCCCATTTCGAGCGCAACGTTGCAAGATCTGCAAGAGATATCCGAAAAGCCAAGCAAGCGGATCAAGTACACCACGGCAGATATCAAGGAGCTGGAAATGCATGCCGTGTCGCGCCAGGATAAGATCAAGGCCTCGGGCCTCCAGGAGATCCAAAGGAGATCGCCTACACCAGTTGAACCCAAAAAGATTCCACCTACACCAGTTGAACCCAAAATGAGTTCGCCTACTCCGGATGAACCAAAGAAGAAGACAGTACTGGGCATGGCCAAACATAGAGCTTAGGTAACCTCTAGTTCTGGTTCGCAAACGCCAGTTGGACTCTCTAATTCTGTCTCAAAGGCAGCAAGTGAACTCTCGAGCCCCACCCCGAAAGCAGATCTGTCGAGTTCTGTCACAAAAGCATCGAGTGGACTCTCGAGTTCTGCTACGAAGGCACCAACCGAACTTTCAAACTCTACTTCAAAGGCATCAAGCGGACCTTCACAGTCTGGCCCGAAGGTCCCAGGTGGGCTCGCCACATCTCGATGGGCCACTGCTGGCGGTACGTCGCTCCAGAGACTAACAGAGGCGAAGATGGTTACTGATTCTGCTTCCATAGGCTGGTCATCTCCCACCCCAACGGCAGCGGCTGCGAAAAAAACTACCATTTCCCCTCTCAAGGCTACGGCACCCGTCTTCGTAAGTCAGAAGCCAAGCCCAAAGGGTTTGAGCTCCTCGCGATGGGCCGACAAACCTGTTGAAAACAAGGGTGCTTTTGCCGGCTTCTGAATGCGGTTTCTTGGCAATGACATGATGGATCGGGAGAGATTTTTTGAGGTATGATTGAGAGATTGGTAATCAGTGGCTAATAGTGCGATATTTTTTTCTTCTTTTCTGTGTTAGGAATATTGAAGGTATCAAAGCGGACGGCCTATCTATATTGGACCAAGGCTTAGACCGTCTCTGGGATGGTTGAGATAGTTCCATTGAATGTAAGGGCAGGACAGTTAGGTAGGAATAGGCCCGATGAACGGGCTGTGCAGGATTATACGAGATTAGTTGCAGGTGTGGCCCAAAACCACAAGTGAAGTCGGTCTTGTTGAGTGGCTGTGTTGAGTTCAATCACTTTGTTTTATTTTTTGCCTACATCTTGACTGATACATGGAGAGTAGCTCTCTCGACTCCTCATCCAAGCCACCCTTGTCGCCTTCAAGGGCTAGGACCTTTGATACGAGATCGATGACCTGTTGATAGCGGCGAAAGAAGTAGAGCTCCTCTGCTGCATGGATCACTTCCTGGACATGCTGTTTGTTGGCATCCGGCCCCAATGGGAGGGAAAGTGTTTGGTAAATCTAGATGATAGAAATGGTTACAACTAGATTATTATTTCAGGAGCGTGTTATGAGTGTCTTACATTGCCATTCTCCACCTTGGCATGGTAAGTGTTTTTCACTGCCTGGAAGTCATCCTCTGTCTGACCGGTGCGCTTGGACTTTTTCTCCGCCTTGTCATCTTCTGAGTCGGAGATTTGGATGTTGAAAAGGTCGTTTTCGTCTGCGTCGGACATGGTGGGCTGGACGTTGAAGATGGCGATGGCGACGAGGTGGATGCAAAGATGAAAGAACCGGAAATGTGAAACTTGTGATGGACGGCTCCACTTGCTGCAGATTTGGTATAAGCTCGCGCTGTGGCTGCGTTTTGCTTTCAGAATCGGGATTGATAATACAGTGATTGAGGGGATTTGAAACAATAAAATGATGAAACGTATCCACGGAGCACAGCCGCGGTGGAGATGAAGCGAGTCCGGGGCTTAGTTGCTATGTCGGGAGGGATCTGGGGTTTAGAGAGGGTGGTATTTCGATATTCAGAGTGACAGATTCCGAAAGAAGTGGAATTGGAGAGATCCTGGCATGGGTCCAGCCACAGAGGCGTCACTAAAAGGCACAAAGGCACTACCAAGGTACAGTTGGTACTGGTACTGGACAGAGACAGGAAGAGCACAGACGCAAGTACAGGTACAAGCCTAGCCTTTGTCATCCATTGCGTCTGGGCGCGGATTCACCGAAACCAGCGCTGCCATTGGACGCTTCCGCAGCCGCCGGTCCCTGGACATGGAGAGTCGTAGCCGATTGGCGCCCACTGAACTGGAACCTCCCTTACTAGCTGTGAGGCTTTGTGCTGTCCCTGCTCCATCCGCTGCACCCAATCAGTCCCAATCAGTCAGGCGCCAGCAACTCTAAGAAAATCAAAGCATCTAGCAGACGGCCTTTGGCTCGAGGCGATTCGTGTCATCTGGACCTGCGCTCATGTCACCGCAAGGGTCCCTGAAAGAACATTGGTCCGCCGTGGCGCAGCGTCAGAGGACGGAGTAACTTGGTCCCAGGCCGGAACGACAATTGCGTTAGCGCCAGATGGAGCTCCAAGCGCCCCTGGCTTTGAAGTCCGATTGCAGCGGGACGTGATATATCATCATCATCATAGCTGCTGCTGCACCGGGAGCTCTCTTTGTTTCTCTCCGTTTATATATTGCGATCTCGCTGCTTCTGCTTCTGCTTCTGCTGCTTCTGATACCACCAACTCTTCTTCTTTCTTCTTCATCATCACCAAAACGCAGCGTCGCTTCCTGTCGAAATGGCGGACCCAACTGGCCCCCCACAGCACTCGTTTACGGGCATCCTCAAAGACATCGAGGGGCAAAATCCACACAAGCGCTCCGAAGATGGCTCCCTAGGGCGCGAAGAACACGACACCCTATCGGAAAAGGCGTCGTCTTACAGACGGTCAAAGCCGCCTTCCCTCGACATCGACAAGTCGCGGCCGCAGGACTTTGACGGCGAGCTCTCGACGGACAATGTGCTGCCGTCTGCTGCCGTCCAGAAGAAGATTGAAGAGTACCTTGTGCTGGACAGCAATGGCAAGTCGAGGACGTTCAAGAGCCTGTATGCGGGCAACAACAAGGCCAGACGAGTGCTCATCATCTTTATCCGGCACTTTTTCTGCGGCGTATGTCTTTCAGCTTCCTTCTGTTACTTCTTACCTACTTGTCTTGATGTCCATCGCAGCTAACACTCCGTTCTAGAACTGCCAGGAATACATCCGTACCTTGTCCCAACACATTACCCCCGATTCTCTTCTCCGACTTCCCATCAGCACCTTCATCACCGTTGTCGGGTGCGGCGACCCTGCCCTGATCGACATGTATGCCAAGGAGACGGGCTGCCAGTTTCCCATATACACGGACCCGACTCGGTCGCTATTCGACGCACTGGGCATGGTCAAGACGCTTAACATGGGAAATAAGCCAGCATATGCAAAGAAGAGCACGTCAAGGGGAATATTCGACAGCATTGTCCAGGGCCTGAAACACGTGCCCAAGGGCCTGGCTCTCAAATCCGGCGACCATCGGCAGGTAGGCGGCGAGTTCCTCTACGAGCCGTTCCAGGTTTCGACGCCAATCACCACGCCGCAGGAGGAGCAGCATCCCCAATTTGGAACGCTTGAGAGGCCTGGAAATGGAAACGGCAAAGCCAAGGCAGACGAGGAGAGGGTCGAAGAGAAGCAGATTACGTGGTGCCACAGAATGAAGACTACGAGGGATCATGCGGAGATTCCCGAGCTTCTGGAGGTGCTGGGCTTGGACAGCCAGGCGCATAACCCAGATATCAAGGACGAAAAAAGGTGGCAAGAAGCTGCGCGGGAGAGGAAGGGCACAGGGGTAACCATGGTCCCTGAGATGAAGAGGCTAAGCCAAGCAGCCCGTCAAAGTGCTGAACAGTCTCATGACTTATGAGCCTCTGGCGGCTGAGAGCAACTAAGGATTTGCGATTTGTTGAAAAGCGTTTTGCGTGTTTGCCGGTTTACACGCATCTCGGTATTCGGAATCATGGCTTGTTGGACTTTTCTGTTTATTGCTGATTGCATGGACATCAACATCCCCCCCTTTTTTTCTTTTCTAGCTATTTATTTTTTCCTTTCTATTATTCTTGAAGCGAGCTGGTACACATTTGCTCGGCATATATCCCATTCAGTCTGGTTATTTATCTTCTTAAAAAGCTGGCTTTTGATCTATGTATATAAATTGGCATATTCTATTCATGGACCCAGTTTCCGTCTTCCCTGCTCTGAACCAACTCGTGAACCTGTAGCCTGTAGTCTATAATCTCTCTCCCATTTACCAGATCGTTTTCAATGGCCCTCTTATCGCCCTCTTCCACGGTCTGCACAATGCCTGCTCGGAGATGTCTCTCCCTCAGCCTCTTCCTCGCCACTTCAAAGTCCACTTCGACGAACCACAGCTCGTCGAACAAGGCGGCAGCATCACGCCACACGTCCTTATCTAATGTTAGGTAGATGCCTTCCAAGACGACAATTCGATGGATAGGTTGTACTGCAATGTCGTCCTCTTTGGGATCCTTTACAGCGTGATCAAAAGACGGCGCAAATATCGATACAGAGGGAGAAATAGGTTCCCGTAACGACTTCATAAGGGCAAGAAACTTGGGTGCGTCAAAGGTAAAGGGGGCGCCGCGACGAGCATGAGCGGTGACCGGGTCGGGCATAGCGGAGAGAGCGGCGCGAGTGAGGTGGAAGCCGTCCATGGGCACGAAGGCCGCTGGTGGAGGAGATGAGGGCGCATTCTTGAGGGAGAGGGCGTTAATATCATTGGTGATGATTTGGGCCAGCGTAGTTTTGCCTGGTGAGCTGTTAGTAGGTGAGTGAGAATGAGAATTTTGGGGCATGAGAAGCGTGCCTGAGCCCGGGATGCCGCCTATTCCGATTACTGCATTAAATGAAGCGTTAGCAATCAATGATTCCAATTTTTGAAATTCTATGAGAACAGCGGAAAGGTCTTTTATATCGATGCCCACGATGCCTTATAAGAAGAAAGGGCATAGGGATATGTGGCCGACTTACACAGGCGCTTGTCCTGAGGTGTTTCCTGGAACCTCCTCCAAACCTTGTCCACCAGTCTCTGCACTTGAGGCTCCATGTTAACGCTGTGACTTCATGTGCCTCAAGTTGTGGAAAGTCGGGAGCTTCCAATGGCTTCCGTTTTGTAGCAGTTGGAAAGCTCCAATTGTTTGCTGCCTGATCAACTTTGGAATGAGATCCGGAGCCCCGCTGGTTGCAGTAGCAAACAAACCCCACGTCTCTCCACTGAAATTCCGCATGTACAAATTAATAGCCAGGCGAACCATGGATGGGCTTTGTATTTTTGGGCAAAATACGGTATTTCGGCTAATGTACTCCGTACATGTAGGGGGAACAGCATTCAAATTTAATATATAGGGGCGAATCTACATGCATATTAAACACAGTGACACTTAAAGTACGGTGGTTTGTGGATTATATGGGCTCTCTAATTATAGGCTTCCGGAGGTGCGACAAGCAACTTTCAAGCATTGATGTCATCCGCCTTTGTCATATTTTGGGACATAAAAAACTGGTCACTCTGCCATACAAAAATGCGGTGCGGGTGACCCACGGTTAGTGTACATAATTTTGTCAGCACCCATGGCGGGGTTTAGTCGCTGCAGAGCCCTCTGCCAAAATTTGATCGTTCGAAACACTCACACACGACACAACGCAAGTTGGCCAAGATGGCAGCCCAAATCCCCACCGAAGCTCTCAAGGAGCTGAAAGGTGAGCATTTACGTATTGCTGCGATCTCGGCAGATGCTGACTGTGTGCGCAACTCCAGTGGCCGAAGGAACTCAGCCGGCTGGCCAAGCTGGGAACTCGGCCAACGGCCATGCCGAAGACGCTCACGACGGAGAAGACTCCGAAGATGAAGCAGAAGAACCCTCTACCACCGGAGCTGCCAAGAAGAAGAAGAAGAGAAAGCCCAAGAAGAAGAAGAAGGCTCCCACCAGCCAGACCGAGCCGCCTCGTGTCATGGTCAGCCAGCTGTTCCCCAACAAGACGTATCCCAAGGGCGAGGAAGTCGAGTACTTGAACGACAACGCCTACCGAACCACCAACGAGGAGAAGCGCCATCTCGATAACCTCAACAGCGAGTTTTTGGCCGACTACCGAGAGGCTGCTGAGGTGCACCGACAGGTGCGACAGTATGCGCAAAAGGTCATCAAGCCTGGCCAGACCCTGACCGAGATTGCCGAGACCATTGAGGACAGTGTGCGCGCTCTTACCGGCCATCAGGGTCTGGAGGAGGGAGATGCTCACATTGCCGGTATGGGCTTCCCGTGCGGTCTCAGCTTGAACCACTGCGCCGCCCACTACACCCCCAATGCGGGCAACAAGATGGTGCTGCAGCAAAACGATGTCATGAAGGTCGACTTTGGTGTCCACGTCAACGGAAAGATTGTCGACTCTGCTTTTACCATGGCATTTGAGCCCAAGTACGACAACCTGCTCCAGGCAGTGAGGGAGGCCACCAACGCCGGTGTGCGCGAGGCAGGCATTGATGCCCGCGTGGGTGAGATTGGTGGTGTCATTCAAGAGGTCATGGAGAGCTTCGAGGTCGAGATTGACGGCACCACGTACCCCGTCAAGAGTATTCGCAACCTGACGGGACACACCATCCTGCCGTACAGCATTCACGGCACAAAGGCGGTGCCCATTGTGAAGAGCAACGACCAGACCAAGATGGAGGAGGGCGACGTGTTTGCCATTGAGACATTTGGCAGCACGGGCAACGGATACGTCCGTGACGACGGAGAGGTGTCGCACTACGCAAAGGTTGGCGATGTGCAGCACGTTGACCTCCGCCTCAGCTCGGCCAAGGCGCTCCTCAACGTAATTAACAAGAACTTTGGAACGCTGCCCTTTTGCAGGCGATATCTCGACCGCCTGGGCCAGGAGAAGTACCTACTGGGTGTAAGTGGTGGTGCCCTTGTTGGATGATGGCTTCTTTTTCTTGCTGAATGCTTGATGCTGACGTTTCATTGCTCGCTTATAGCTCAACAGCCTGGTGCAGAACGACATTGTCGAGGCGTACCCGCCCTTGTGTGATAAGAAGGGCTCGTACACCGCTCAATATGAGCACGTAAGTTGACTGTTTCTTACGTTGGAGCATGCAGGATTCTGACACACTGTCCACAGACTATCCTTATCCGACCCACCGTGAAGGAGGTCATCAGCCGCGGAGAAGACTACTAGAGTCAAGATGGATTCTGGAATACGACATTCTTGATAGTCATCCCAGGGGGACAAGAGATAAGCCACGGTAGTGGTAGTGGCAGTATTACTTAATGTGCTGCTGCTGCTGCTGCTACTGTTACCTCTTTAGCAGGTAAGATCGCTATTACTAAGCTACGGATGCGATACAGTAGAGAGATAAGAGAAAACAAAAGAAATAAATAAATCAAAAGATAAGACATTGCTACACTACTGGGTGCTGTAATTACTAGTAATTCGGCTGTTCAATGGCGGCTGCTTGTTGCGGGGTGTAATTGAAGAACCCGAGGATGCGGCTGAATACAAGAGACCTACTTCTCCGCATCGATCTGGAAACGGCCTTCCCCGGGATCGTGGAATGCCCGCAGCTAAACAAAGAAACGTCCATGGCAAATGGATAATTCAACATCAAGGAGTTGCATGTGTCCATAATTCCAGCCCAATGAGCGGCCCTCGATGACGATCGTCGCAGCCCTCGCCACCGCCTTGTTGCGGTACTGCCGCTTGCTCGCCACAGGATTTTTATCATTTTCCTGCGTCACTGAGCCGAGGGCGCTGGACCGAGAAAGCATCACCGGACCGTAGCTGCCCTCGTTTGTTGCCCCTCCCATACATACCGTATTTTTGCTGCGTTCTTGCCCTTGTTGCCGATTCCCGCACCGCCGAAATCCAATCAGATCCACTTCCGGCTTCCACCGTCCCGAAGATTTCTCGCCGGTCTAACCCAATCCGTGTTGGATGTTCCCTCTTACGGAATAGCCCCTCGATAGCCAGATGACTAAGTTCAGGGAGAGGCAGCGCGAAAGCAAAAAGAAAGAAAAAAACCAATGAAAAAAAACCTTTTTCCGGCGAGGTCGCTTGCTCCGATGCCGAAAGCTCCTCTTCTAAGCCAAGCCCGTTCACATGCGAAGCTCCTCCTGAGAAAAAACCCGCACGAGCCCTCTGACTAGGTTTTTTTTTCTTTTCCCCCGGCCTCCATATAATTGCGAAATCCCGCCCCCGGATCTTTTTGCTTCTGATCGTTTTGAAAGAGTCATACAAGGTCTTTTTTTTTCTTTTAATAGACGGCAGCGTTCTTTCATTTACTCCACCGTACCCTTTGATCAGACATCGCTGAGACGAATCACAGCGTCAGGCACGCACGCGGTTGATCATTGCCCTAGCCTAGATAACATTGACGAAATTGATTGGGTTTATCTTTGCCATCCGCGACCCGCCACCTGGATCGGAGCTTTTCTCGATATAAACCAACAAACACCCTCGTCTCCCTTTATTTCCCACCTCCCTCAATCACTCATTCGCTTCCCCCCACATCTACACAGAAGCCATGAAGGTCTTTTCCAACCAGGTCACCTACGACTACTCGTGGGACGAGGTGTCCACGGCCAACTGGCGCAAGTACGGCCCATGGAACAACAAGTCTGAGCACGTCATCGCCGTCGACACGCTCTCGCGACGAGTCGACCCCGAGACCGGCATCCTGCGCACCGAGCGCCTCATCACATGCAAGCAGGCCGCCCCCGACTGGATCAAGTCGCTGCTGGGCGGCAACATGGAGGAGAGCTTCGTCTACGAGGCCAGCTACGTCGACCCGCAGAACAAGACGGTGACAATGGTCAGCCAGAACGTGACGTGGAGCAACCTGGTCCGCGTGCAAGAGGAGGTCGTCTACAAGCCCCTGAGCGACCACCAGACGCAGTTCCTGCAGAGCGCCCGCATCACCGCCCTGTGCGGCGGCTGGCAGCGCATCAAGAACAGCATCGAGGACACGCTGTGCACGCGCTTCAAGGAGAACGCCGTCAAGGGCCGCGAGGGCTTTGAGCGCGTTCTCGAGATGAGCCGCATCGTCTTTGCTGAGGAGAAGGAGAGGCTGCAGCAGCAGAAGATGATGCTCATGTAAAAATTTGCATGGCCCTCTCTTCCTGCTCTGATGCAGGTCACAAACAGTGCTGCGCACCGAAATCTCCAATCACAAAACCCAAACAAACAACAAACCACCCATCTCCACTATAACGACTCAACACGTGTGTTTCTATCATCATCTCTCCTTTGTTTGGGAAAGGATACGGCGGCGGCATAAATTTCTCTTTTTTTTCTCTTTGTTTTTTTATGGCGCGGCGTCACGGATATACAAAAAATGGGAAGAGGCACGAACAAAGAAACGAGAAAGAGGGGCCATCACAGCGAGACAAAAAAAGAAGACAAGAAGAAAAAGGATGGCCAGGATTAATTCGGCTTTTGTGTGTGTGTTTTCATATATCCTCTACTTGCTTTTTTGAGAGGTGGAGGAGATACCAATTGTTTTTTTCTTTCTTTCTTTCTGCTTTAGACAAAAAACGGAGGGCAGGGAGGAACGACTACATTTGTTTTCTGGGAGCAGAAACAGAAGATCAGAGGGAATGTCCGCAGCATTACACTGTTTTTACGCTCATGAAACCAGCGTGCGGGCGATGATAGATTTTTTTTCTCTTTTTTGTTGGGGTGGTTTTATTGTTTTTGTCTTTATTAGAGACTAGAACATGTTGTATACTTAGAAGAGGCGGCTTCGTGCTGCAATCTCTTTTTTTTTTTTGTTAGACGGCAATTCAACACTAAGATGCCATGGCAAAAGATACTACTTCCAATTCTCTAAATCGTGGTTGTGATTTGATGCAGTTTCGTTTTAATGTCTGGGTTGAGGGACGTCGTGCCCTCGACATACTCGCATGCAGTGTGTAGAGCCATGTGAGTTTGTATCTTGGGAGACAAGACGGGAGACAAGAAAGATTTGTTCACATGGGATCGAAGCACAGCAATTTTACGCTCCCCCGAGGCCTCGTCTCCAGCCTATTTATAGTTCCATATCGGCATGGACCTATTACCTTGCTAGATATTCTGGATGCAAGATTAACTTACAGATAACATTGGGCAAGGGTATCGGGCTTTCTTTCACAGCAATCTTAAGCCCTCCCGGGGCCTTGTAATGATCCACCATGCTCATACTTTGTAGTTCCATAGTATGCACGTCTATGCTTGCGAAAAGGCTGGAAAACGAGGTCTGGGGAGGGCTTAAAAATGCTGTGAAACGGACGCGCTAGTTCATGTTGCGGCTCTGCTGACGTCGCGCGTCTGTTACACAGCATTTTTAGGCTCTCCCCAGACCTCGTTTCCAGCCTTTTCGCAATACGGTTGTCATGGCGGTATTAGCATATGCAGAGCAAAATGAAGGGCATATCCGGTATAGTGATATATTTCTCAGTATTCTCAAGTTCACTTGAGGCTATGTAGTGCGTTGATGGAAAGCGAGATGATAATGCACTGAAAGAAAAGCCACCGAGGGAGAGGTATCTAAAATTGTATATTGCTTTATGAATATTGAGTACTATTCCTAAACTTCAAACTTGTGATTGGAATTTGATATTGTTTGGCTCTTGTGTTTGATTCGAGTGGCATCGTTGTCTATGACAAGCCTGGTTGCAGTAATTCCTACAGCGTGGTATACATTTTGGGAAGAAGACCAGGAATCTGGTCGTCCTGTGGAGTCCTTTCACAGCATTTTTAACCTTCCCCGAGGTCTTGCCTCCAACTTATTTGCGCGTGTTCCAGTGTGGTATATATTCAGCCCTTTTGTGGAGTCCTTTCACAGCATTTTTAATTCTCCCAAAGCGTTGATTCCAGCCTGTCTCCTCGAAAAGGAAGAATGTGCGGTCATTTTACAGCATTTGTAAACCGTCTCGATAGCTACTGCTCCCAATCATCTGAATCATGATTGTGATTTCATGGAGTTTGGATGTGACGTTTAGCAAGTGTGGCGGCGGACCTTTGGTGTACATGGGTGCAATTTGTAGCTACAAGGCCTTGGGAGGGTTTAAAAATGCTGTGAAATATTGGTCATGACATCATGAAGCATAAAGAGGTGCGCTAGTATAGGTCCTACCAATAAAGCTAGAACCCTCCAAGGCGTTGGGAGAGCCTAGAAATGCTGTGAAGGTGGTTACAAGGGTGTGTGCTGTCGTGGACCAATTGAAGCCTGAATCTAGTATATATTCGGTGAGACAATGCCGCTACTACTTTTCACAGCATTTTTAACCTCTCTCGAGGCGGGGATTCTCTTGTAGGATCAGGTTGTAGGTCATGCTGCAGGGGGTCGGATGCACTCCGTACATTCACAGCAAATTTAAGCCCTCCCCGGGCCTTGTAGGGATCCAGCCTGCTCGTACTCCGTACTATTCTTTACAGTTCCATGTCAGTTCTACTATCCCGGGGTCCCCTACACCCTCATTCTTTTCACAGCATTTTTAAGCCCTCCCCGGACCTCGCTTCCAGCCTTGTTGCAGTGCTACGGCGGTACTTGCGTGCTCGAGAACAGGGGTAAAAGCGGTAGCGTTAATTTCACAGCATCTGTAGTTCACTCGATGCTATGTAGTGGATGGAAAAGAGACATTACAACCTGCTGAAATAAAAGCCGCTGAGGGAGGGGTATCTAAACTTATACATTGCTTTGTTGATATTGGGTACTATTCCCAAATCTTGAACTCGCAATTTTGTTTTAATACAGTTTGGTCATTATATTTAGGGAAGGGCTATTCAGCACCCCAAGTTGGCTATCCAGCACCACAGCGATTAAAAAATGAGTACCTAGCGAATAAATAACGTAGAATAAAGATCTTTCTTATCAGTATCACTTAAATATATATACGGTTCCTGGAGTATCTTCTACTACCGCTACTTTCTGCTACTACCTCTACCTTCTGCTACTAGCTATATTTTCTTCTACTACCGCTACTCTCTACTACTACCGCTGCTTTCTACTACTACCGTTACTTTCTGCTACTACCGTTACTTTCTACTACCGTTACTTTCTACTACTATCGCTACTTTCTGCTATTATCTATATTTTCTTCTACTATCTGTCATTATTACTACCTATGCCGCTTTAAATTTAAGAACGGGATGCTGGATAGTGAACGTGGGATGCTGAATAGTCATTCCCTATATTTAGCTAGAGAACCATCATGCCTTGATTTACAGTGTTTATGTTGCGCAGAGGGTGTTATATTAAAGTAAAAGCCACCAAGTGTGAATCGCCTCGCTCGTAAGCATCAAGGGCCTCACCATTCATAAGGTGATGAACATAAGCTTCCCCAATGACTGAATACTTGTCTTCGCCTAATGGTCGAAGTATAACTGGAACATCACATCCAAAAAGAATACTTACTATGTCACCTACCTCTGTAAAGTCAGATGTCAGACCAAAGTGTCCAGTCTCGTCCACGAATAACTTCCGCTTGTGAGCGAGTTGGTAAAACCTCAAGTCCCGAGAAGCTTCATCACTTCCATCTTTCCCTCTGCGTATATACGTCCGCGCTAGGTCATGCCAGTCGAGATCCATGTTCTCATAATAGTACGCAGGGTTATATGCGCGGGATTCATCCACGTAAGCCAACCCACCAGTCATACCATTAGCCCAGTCTGCGATAATATGATCTATGAAAGCTCCTGAATCCGAATCTACCGAATGGTGGAATTGGTTGTAAGCATCGGCTATCAACTGTTGGATATTCGCGGGTAGATTGTCGAGCGCCGATATTAGCCAGTGAAGAGAGGGTGCGTCCTTCAGTTGTGTGCACGGAGGGGGCTCTATCAAATGTATGATCCGGCCATGACAAATTCTGGTGACTGTAAGCCTTTCAAGATCATTAGAAAATGTAGCCGATGCAACACGAGAGGCCGAGGCTCTGTAAAATTGACGATTTTGTGGTTTGCCAGGCGGCCCCAGATGTCGATGTACATTGCGAGTCAGGAGGCTGAATCGCTGCCATGACTCTGCCCAATTCGGAATCCAGGACCTCTTTAGGGTACTTGGCGTCTGACAAGCACATAGAATATTCAGGGACTGGGTGCCCAAGACCATGGCTCTGACCACACTAGCATAGACATTCTCTACTTCGGCTCCATAGTCAACAATAACGTGGTTGATGTCGAGTTCTGCAGGACTGGCAAGAGAACTGGAGGGAACTTCCGCTTCTAAGCTCTGAAACAACCCGAGTAATGCGTAGATCTTGTCTCTCGGATCTGTCGATAACCTATCTCTAAACATCCAGAGGAGGGTGAGAAAAATACCAGGGGGGCGTTTGTTATGGAGATTTTGCTGGAGGTCAATCTTTAATTCCATCAGAGACATGTACTCTTTAATTCCCTGAAACATTTCTGCCTTCTGGGAGCCTGTGAGACCTTGCGGATGTGTCTCGAACACCCGAGTTGCCAAAAGATACACATTGAGATGTTGAAGAGAAAGCGTGTGTATTTGCATCATACTGTCCTGCAACTTGGACAGAAAGAACTCTTGAATTACCCACACGCGTTTGAACCACGCTTTCGAAAAGAAGTTATGTAGAGCGCTCCACTCCATCTCTGAAATGCTGATTTGATTCTCTTCCGGATGTGCACCATATGCACGTTTGGGTGGACCCAGTCCATTTTGCGTAGAGCCGTATTTAGACGAAAGAGCAGCTATAGTATGAGCGACCGCCTTGTCATCATTATCGATGAATACGCCGACTATTCCCTTACTATAAATCCTGTCCATTATTAGGACCTGCTGACGACGTTCCTCTAAATCATCTTGATTGATGCAGATAGAGTCCACCCATAAATACCGGACCTCGTAGTTTGGTACGTCCAGTTTGTGCTCAAGGACGTGTTCGATAAGCCTTATATGGTTCCATAATATCATCCATAAACTGCGAGATATGAAGAACGTGTGGTTGTCGATAAAGATGGGCAACTTGTCCTTGCCATCTCCCCATGCATATGACAATGCCCAGAATCTCGGGGCGTCTTCTATCCTTGTTCGATGCAGCCGAAAGCAGAGCCTAGTTGCGTCTTTTGTTGACACCAACTCCAATAGGCGGATCTCGACACGCCCCTGTCGTAGTGGCTTGTACCTCATCGGCATCCTGTGGTGTTCTCTTATCCGTCTTGTAATTTTGATATAGGTCTTGTGTATCTGAAGACCAAGCCTATTGAGATCGAGAATAGAATAAGGTATTAACGATAAGATGCTGTTCTAGGCCGTCACATTATTCATATCTCAATGTTAGCCAAACTTAGAACCAAATTAAATCCAATAGCAGAGTATGCGCTCGGAGAGAATCTGCGCTTGGCTCGAATATGATCCGCAGGCGTCTCCTTTCTCATCTTCTGTTACGACAATGCAATCCCAACAATTGGGTGTATTTGAGCGTCGACAGTGGTAGGCAACTCTTCATTTTGAGGCAGTGTTAGACGGGTTGCCTAATCAATGATATCACGTGGACAATTGTCTGTGTTCACGAAGTTACATATAGTACCTAAGTGAGCGACAACTACATGCGAATCTCCATAGAGATGCTTCATTTTGGGAATAACTTTCAGGTTCATTCACTCGGGAATCAACAAATGTTACTGTGGATAGATAGCTCATGTGAGGAACCAGAATCTGCTCTCTGTGCTGCACTACCCACTTTACGCCATAGAATGGGTCCGTGCAGAAAGACCTCCATTACAATATAATGGAATCCAGACACTTGATTCGGTTTCTGTTGTTCTTGGCCGCAGTTTGTAGACCCATGAGAGTGTTGGTGCATGTCATCATCCTCCTCCGCCGCCCCCCTTCACAGCAATTTTAATTCCTCCCAAGACCTTGTCTACAGCCTGATTCTGCGATTTTGACCTGATGCGACGTGACCACCCGGTTCAACAAAAGTAGCTTTTGTCAGCACACAAATTGGCCATACCAAGTGGTGTTGGCTTTTGAACCGAGATAGCACGGAAATTTTTACAACTTGGGGAAGGCCCTCGAGGCTTTCTCTCCTGCTTGAAGCAGCTTGGGCATAAGCCGGTGCTGTCAGAGCCATATTTGTACGAGTTCGCTTCGATTGGATGCAGCTTGACCACTCTGCTCAATCAACCAATGTGGCTTTTGTCGTACAGTCCATGTGGCCTACATGTATGAGGCCTTGGGAGAGGTTAAAAATGCTGTGAAAAACAAATGGTTCGCCACCTGTTGCCTTTTTTTCCGGTGGCCTAATGCATGTCGTTTTCCAAGCCCCCCAGAATGCCATCTCCCTCCGTTCATTGCAATAGAGTCCAGGACTTTGCGGCTTTGCAGCTCTGCGACTTTTGCTGTAGTCAGGCTCTAGGGAGAGGGCATTTACAACATCTTAGCCCCGCAAGACACATGGACAAAGATTTCATGAGATGAGATAGGATTAAGTCCCGGTTATGCTTGTCAAGCGCGACGCAGCTGTGCAAACTCGCAACCGTGGATCTCTTACATGGCATTGTTCAGCCGTCCAGAAGGCCCATTTCTCTTTGTTCGTAGTGAATATTGCATCTCTGTAACCATTGCCGATTTGTAGTTGAATCATGTTGTGAGGCCCTCTTTTCACGGTATATTCAAGCCCCCCAAGGACTCGGGTTCTTACATATGGTGAAAATAAAAAGGAGAGGCGGCAACGCACTCCGCGATTGACTACAGGTGAGTACGCTCCAAACAGCTGATGTAGCCCCTGCCATCCTTTTTCTTCTTCTGTTTGACCTATTTGGCGGCGGTTTACGGCATTTCTAAACTCCCCTGAGGTTTTATTGCGGATGGAAAGGGGATTGCAAAAACACTGAAATAACAGCCATAAATCTTCCCGTTTTGTACATGCTCCCATTGATGGCATTTTGAGCCCATGTCTAGTTAGCCGTGATGATAGATGAGTAGTCACCACCGTTTCTTCTCTCCAAATATCGTACACATTTTGTAACATTGTCTACAAGGGGAGCCACTGGACAATTTAGGAGCCACCTAGCTGTGTTTTCTACGTCCTTCTTGTCTAATGGAGTTCACCAGCATTCTAGGGGGGCGCTCGTCCCATTTCGAACATCCACAGCATCTTAATCTCACTCAACGCCTTGTATCCAGATGCAGCTTGACTACCATATTCAACCAAAGAATGGTACCCACAGCCACGTACAGTATGCCCATGTACCTATACAATCCTCTCCTACAAAACCCCCCAACTTACTAGTAACTCACCTGCCGCCGCCTTTCTTACCTTCTAGGCATGTACTTACAGGTACACAGTGGTTCCTGTGCACAGAATCTTTGGGCGGAGGCTTACAGATGTAATTGCAAAAGCCCGAAGTTGTGTCAGGTTTTGAATCGCAAGCTCAAATCACCTCTGAGCCTTCTCCCTTACCTACTCGGTTCTGCGGCTCTCTCGTCACGCCATAGGTAAGCTCTCTCACGGCCTTGCTGAGTACTTTACAGAGGAGTGTAAAGAGATGCACATGGTGAACAAACTCCACAGAAAGCAGCCGCCAAAGAGGAAGAAAAACAACTAAAATGATATACTAGTTCATTGATACTAACAGCTATTTGATACCTCTCGAGCATTGTTAATGGTGCTTTGAGATTATGCCGAATTGTCATGTGGTGGGTGAATTGCTTCTTTCCAGGTAGTCGTCTCTTTTACAACCTTGCATGGAGGATCTCACAGGCTCAACACCGACATCTTAACAGCATATATAGTATGTAGATTTTCAGCTTCAATTGTCGTGCGGAAAAGATTTTCGGCCGGGATGTGCTTCGAGATCCGCCATTTCCAGCCTGCTACACGATTCCATGTCAATTCGCGTTGCGCGCAAACAAGGGCACAATCAGCTCGCTTGCAACAGTATTTTCCAGCATTTCTATGGCCTTGCCTCTGGGTTCATTCCATTTAGCCAAATTAGTGTTTGTTTGCACTTCGCACACACGCTGTCGTGTATGGCCACACGCGGGGCCACATCCCCGCAACGGGACTGCCGGTCTTTTGCACAGCATTTTTAACCTCTCCCGAGGTCTCATCTCCTCCAGTCTCAACCGAAACCCCCCTGCCCAGCTGAAAGAACATTCACAGCATTTTTAACCTCACCCAGGGCTTCATCTGCCGCCCATTCGCCGTCATCACAGCTACATGCCTAGTGCGACATGCATGCACAAGCGTCGATTTTTTCACAGCAATCTTAAGCCCTCCCGAGGTTTCATCTCTGACCTGATTCATAGTTGATTCCGTATCAGCATTTGAACGGACAAAACTAAAGCAGATGAGCGGCTTGCCATAATATGATTCCGTCTGCACTCTTTACAATATTTTAAGTCCTCCCAAAGCCCATATCCCCAACATGTCTCTACAACGCCCATTCAACGCAGCTCAGCCATCATGCTGAACTAAAGTAAACACATAGCCATAGCAGGTCGTGTCGGCTTTTGAATCAAGGTAACAATAAAAACAAACGGATGTCTTTGGCGCACTTACCACAGCATGCTTGAGCCTTATTGAAGCCTTTTCCCTTGCTTGCAGTAGATCTTATAGTAGGTACGCTTCTCACAATGATACTACTGCAAGTACTCCGCAATGACAGTAGACAGTAGCAGTCGTGGCTCAGGTGATGAACTCAAGGAGATTATTTGTTGTTACAAAGGGACCCTGACAACTTGCTTCACAGCAATTTTAACCTCACTCGAAGCTTTCATCCCCCGCCCGTCCTACATCCGAACCGCATATGCGTAATATTCACAGCATTTTAAGTCTCACAAGACATGCAGCAAATATTTCAGATACCGAGATGAAACTCACAGCGTCTATGGGGGATGGCCTTCACAGCATTTTTACATCTTCAGTCTGTCTGCATTCAGTGGAGAAGCCTTCGGGAGGGCTTAACAATACTGTGAAATCATGCATTTGGTGTACATCAAATGACGCCATAGTAGTTGGAGCAAATCGAGATAAGAAAAAAAAAGGTTGGGAGACAAGGCTTCGGGGGGGCTTAAAATTGCTGTGAAGATGAACCTCACACCGCTGGTTCAGAATACCTAGCTGGCACATTAGCCCCCCCAACCCCTGGCATGGCGTTTGCGGCTTTTCATTCGCTCAATTGCTGCTTTTCCCACTTACACCGGGGTCATTTTGTCTCCGTTCACACTGTACAGCCTCGTCTTTTGGAGCAACTCGAACTCGCCTCGAACTCGCAACGCCCTAGTACAGAAGGTGGAAAAGATACTGATCTATCTAGAACAATATATATGAATCTTTTAAATTGGGGACCATCTCATGTTCGTTTCCTGTGCTGTACGAGTCTTGCTGATAAGCTGCCAAGTTTATGTTAAATTACCATATGGCGAGGAGGAAGCCTTGTTCGTAGTGTTGGTGATGTTTTGAACACTCCCTCCGGTGATCCCCATCTATAACTTTGTAAAGGTGCATATTCAGCAGGCCCAATGGCCTATGCACGGCAGAATCTTTCCGCTTCGAGATATTTCCTTCTAATGATCATTCTGTGAGTACGCGATAGTAAGACTAACTATATATTTTGCCCCGCCGATCACCGGTGCTTCATCCATTCTCAATCCCCAACCAATTCTTCTCTAATCCGATCGGCTCCTACTAATAAGACAAATTCATTAGTCGATCAAACAACGGCGTACCCCATCCTGTCACCGGATCCCATCCTGGCACGGCGTCCCAGCCTGCGTTGGGAATCACGGGCGATTCAAGACCTATAACGCTGCGGCCAGAGCATCCCAATGACTTGGACTCGGTAATACTATCATGTAGAAGTCAGCATACTGTAGCGTATTGAAAGGGAGAATGGAAACCAATTGCAACATACTCTGTGAATGCATGACTACCAATGCTGTAGATCCACGGGTTCAGGAATCCCATGGATGGTAATCCGTTCTTGGTCCGATTATCGTTGAGCAGAGCAATGAGAGCTGCAAAGACAGGCGAAGAGACACTACGCCATGTGTTAGTCATATCAAGCTCCTTAGCAACAAGGTAACATTACAAAAAGACAGAAACACACCTTGTACCGGATGCCGAGTCCTCATTTCCATGGCTCCAGAACCGATAATTTACTCCCTGGGCCGCTACATCAGGAAATCCTCTACCATGAGGATTGTAGTAGCCCTTCCACTCTCTTCCATGTAGCTTGAGATAGCCCTCAATAGCTTCATCCTGCCATTGCGGACGGATAAAATAATCGGAGAAGCCACCCGACGAGAAGTTGACTGCTATTTCGGGGTTAATTCCGTAAGTAGCCCCTACACTTGTCACATAAGGGCACGTTGCGGGAAACGAGGGCATAAACTTTGGTCTTTTCGTGCCGTCATTTGATTGGCATGACACGCCGGGACCGAGATTACCGGAAGCTACAACAATGGAGACACCGCGGGTACCGAGCTGTCCAAACATGTCGCAGACTTGCTGGGCGTATGATCTGGGAAACAGCTGTTCGTTGGCCCCGTATGAGATGGATACCACCTTGGGGAGCTCGTCGTCGTCGAGACTCAGGAGATGGCTGGCGAACTCGAGGTAGGGCTCAAGCGCCTGATTATCTGTATCGGACAAGCTGTGATAACTCGTATTAGTATCTCTCGAATTAGGCATGAAATGAAACCAAACTTACTCCAAGTCTGGAATGATATCGTGGTTTGCACCACCAGTTGCGTAGAAGCGCACAGGGACATCGTATGCCATCGAAACAGCATACTGTATATCCACATTGGCCTCGCCTGTTGGTTCATTTCTTCCCTGGGGGTTCTCTCCTCCATTTACTGATTCGACTGAGAAGTTGGCATTGGCAGCATAGGGTGCAAAATCGTCGAGGAATGCGCTGAGTTGATCGTACTGAGCTGCTTGCTGATGGCATATCATTAGCACCACCGTTTAAAAATGACAGAGAGTGTGTGCGTTTTGACACCACTTACCCCAGTGAAACCGACGATACCAAAACGATTCTTGTTCACATGTCGCGCCCGATAACCATCGACATGGTACAACTTTTTCAAGCAGTTAGGGGTGATTCTTGACTTGCATTCTTCCCAATCAGTAACCATCTCTGTCCTAGTCTGGTCAAGATGGTCTTGCTTGGGATTTGGAGTTGTGCATGATGTCGAATTGCCCACAGGACATGCCGCCCGTGTTTGGACCGGAGCATAATGAATGGTCATTACATGGCTCTCAATATCTTTAGGCAGAGAGGAGATCGGTATTGTTTGTATGCCGAGAGTTGAGTTGTAACCGGTGCCCAGCAGAGCTCGGGCCTGCTCAGCCATGACCTGGACATTGATGAATTGGCCATCACTCTGAATATCAATGGCAGGGATACCAGCCTGAGACAGCCATCCTTTCACGGCATCAGTGGAGTCTTGCCGAGGACGGAGCAGGGCTTTGGCTTCTTCGCGACCAAGATATTGCCCGTATCGCCGGCTTGAAGGGTCGGAGAGGTAATGGAGCGTCTGTTCCAGGAGTTCACGGCATTCTGGTTGCAAGGCGATGGAGATTTTTCCAGATTGAATCGGCTGGACCCCTTTCAGAGTTCCAAGCGGTGGTTTCGCCATTGGAGTTGCCATGGCCAAGGCATTGAAGGCCAGAAATAGTAGACGTGCTTTCATCTTGAGGACTTTCAACAAAGCGCAGCACGAAAAGAGATGTTTGACGAAGCCGATGTCTTGGACAGCAAAGTGCGTTGCAGATGAAGATATCGAATGCAACCAAGAACAAATGAATATCCAGTGATCATTACGAGAACCTGATCAATATTGATAGACTCGGTTCACATGACACCAATATATCAATGCCCAAATATACGTACCTCTCTTGGCGTTTGTTACACTCGATTATTCCAGCCTCACTATATATTGAACCTGTAGCTGGCAAGGCTGCCGCACCGGGACAATACTAAGCCATGATATTGTCCCCCCTGTATTGGATCGCGTTCTGCAGCCTTTCAGACTCATATCAGGTGCCCTTCCATTGGAAATTCTAGGTTTTGTATGCTCATTACACAGGCGAGGCGATAGTGGAAAGTGGCAACTGGGATCTGGTGCCTTGCAGAAGGATGCAGAGAGGAGGACTCGATGATTCGTCGCCTTTGCAGCGATGCATGCAGGTATCCGTTCAGCTATCAGGTGAGAAGATGGAGACTCCTTGGCGCGTCGAAGCCATGAGAAAGCTGAACAACTGGTCTTCAGATGCATGGTTTCAGCTCCTTGGAGAAGAAAACGGATTGTGGCCTGCAGAAGCCTGCAAAAAGTCGCATTCCCACTTTCGCATCATCTGCAGACAAATGCTGATGATTGTCGGTGCTAAGGAGCGGCCCGTTGTAGATTTGGATTTGGATTTTGGTTCCCACATGGCTGCCACTCGTACATTGGCTGGAATTCGAGAATCTTCCCCAGTGTTTGCCCCCAGTCTGCTGGTTGCACAAAGGTGAGGCAGAAAGAGGTACGTGCGGAAGAAGCTTGCGCCGATATTTTTAGCCCAAGCACGCAATTTCGCTTCCAAGTATTCCGTGTGTACCTACCCATTGGCGGGAGGGTTCATCGACTCTAGAGTGGACGTGCCTGTAGACGTGCCTTTCATCCCAATACAGCTATTATATTTGCAATATTTCAGATAGATGTTCTCTGTAGATGCCATACGTAACACAAATATCACACACAAAAACAATAATACATATTCTCATCAGCTACAATTGGGAGAAAAATAGCCGTCCTGTTACAATGAACCTCCATCTGAGGTCAAGATACACCACACCATTGATTAATAAACAATCCATACAATGGAGTGAAGCTCTCCACTCTATTCCAGCCCTTGGGCGCGCCTTTCAACGGCACACGGAATCGGTTGACCGGCTTCGGGCTTACATTATGCATTGTACGTAAGAATCTACTAAATAGGAATACAGACTAGGGAGTATAATAGAGCCCATCTTGCCGCATCCCATCCAGGTCAAGTCTACGAGCGTCGAAATACTCCAAAGTCACGTACGTAAGCAGGCTTTGTCATCATGGACCACTCCAGCTTGCACGAGTTCATCATCTCTTCCTTTCTCAACAACCAACGTGCTCCCACTGTTAGCGAGATCGCCACTCGCTTCGAAAGCGATGTAGGTACGACACGGCAAGCCCTGCGAGCTCTGGCAGATTATCATGGCGTTGTGCTGCACCCCAAATCCGACGAGGTGTGGGTTGCCCACCCGTTCTCAGCAGCGCCCACAACCTGCATCGTATCATCAGGCGATCGCAAGTGGTGGGGGAACTGTGCCTGGTGCTCATTCGGAGTGATGCACCTCTTAGGAGGTACCTCGACCTTCACGACAAGGACCGGCGCCATCGGCGATGAAGTGACCATCACGGCTCGGGATGGACAGCTGGTGGACGCGGACGCGGACTTTGTGGTTCACTTTCCAGTCCCCATGACCAAGGTCTGGGACAACGTCATCTACACCTGCTCGGTCCAGCTGCTATTCCGCAATGAGGCCGAAGTGGACGAGTGGTGTGCTAGTAGAGGGATCGCAAAGGGAGATGTGCGTCCAATCAAGCAAGTGTGGGATTTCGCTGCTGAGTGGTATGGCCGCCATGCGGATGCAGACTGGAAGAAGTGGACTGTGCGCGATGCAATCGAGATTTTTGGTCGTCACAAACTGACTGGTCCAACTTGGGCAATTGGAGATGAGGCAGGACGCTTTTAACACATGATTTTGTGAAAATATAGTACAGTGTACAGTAGAGCCCAAATTACACAACATTCTGCCACTTCTGTGAATGACAGGCGTGGCAATCTTAATTCATCTACACCGAAGAACCGGGCAAGGGAAATCATAGCTTGCGTGATGCTATCAGACAGCCATGGAACCGACACATAGGCCCGCCAAAGTGGTCACCTTAAAATTACAGTCAACGCAGGGTAGCACGGGTCATCGTCCTTGCCGACTGATACATAAATCCCATGCGCCGCAAAAACGGGGTTGACCTCTGAGTCCAAATAGGCAGTGATTGCCTTCCTCTTCCTTTTCAGTAAATACGGAATGGCAAGCATTCCTAGTCCCAGCGTAAGCCAAAAGATGATTGTGAATTTCTTTACATACTCTTGCTGGAAGAGATTCATGCGCTCTTGGATGAGATCCATGTCAATCTGCGTCATGCCGCGGCGCTTGAGAGACTCGGGGGCCGCGGTATTCAACGCGAAGGGAATCTCCTCTGGGTAGATCAGCCAACCGTTGGGGCGCCTTTTAAAGGTAGCCTCATCGGCATAACCTTGAGCCTCGGGCGAGACAAGCGTTTCTGGACCATCTTCGAAAAGCGTCTTTCGAGGCTGCCCCAGGCAACTGGCACGCAGCGCATTTGGGACGCCGGCGAGCTGGAGTAGTTTGACTAGTTCTTGCTGCGTCACCAGATTGGTGCCACCGTTGTCAAACTCACGCAAGCCAGCGAGCGTCTCGTTGATGGCATCGCGAGGAGCGTCCGGCACCGTTTGATACATGTGGCCAAGTTGCGTCTTCGCAAAATCTAACCCGGCATTGAAGCCACGCACCCTATAGAGCCCAGGAGTCACTGGGCTTGCAACGGCCAGTAATGTTGCCATGAGAAGATTATTATCAGCTGATAACCCAGGCACCTGTCGAAAGAGAGGCGCAAGATCCTCGGGATCTTGGCGACTATCCCCCAGACGGGGAGGCCGACTACCGCCCACGAAGACGTGGAAAACATTCAAATACCAGTATTGCCAGGCAGGTAGGCCATTGCCGCTGCCCACGGCCACTTCGAGGTGCAAGCCACGACGCTGGAGGTTTTGTGTCACGCCTTGCAGAAACGCCTTCATCTGGTGCAGTGACTTTGCAAAGGGCTTTCTCCCGCGTATGCCCTCCTCCTGGATGTACACAACGCCTCGGCGCAGAATACGGAAATCGTCATAGGTTAAGCCATGAGCTGCCAGCATCGTCGTGAATTCCGGCCAGTCATGCATGGGCCATTGAGTGATAGGGTGACGAAACCGTGAGCATGGCTTGGCCTCCTGAACCCCGGGGATAGTGATTCCCAGAGGATCTACAAAGTGAGACTCAGGAACCGTTGGGATTTGTGCAAAGGTCCTTGGATCCACAGGGTCAATATGGTAAGGATCTGCTCGTACTTCTTCTTCTGTTCGCCAATGTCGTGGAACGTCTGGCCCAGGTCGCTTCAGTCCCAGGCGATGTGCATCAGCACCGCCAAACGCAGGGCGCGCATCTGCGCGGTCGACGCCCAGCAGCGGATTCACAGCAGCCAAAGGCGAGTCGTGACTATTGCCATCCTGTGGTAAGGGACTTGCGGGCGGATGATGCTCAACCACGGGCTTGCGTTTGATAGTGTTTCGGACGCCACGATTCTCCGGAAGATCCATATCAAATGGGACTTCATCGTGTACCTTGATGGATGAGTTGGGTATCTTTCCCAGGCAACCATGAAAATTTCCACCGAAAGGGTCTCTTGTCTCTTTTCATTGCATCGTTGAGTCGTTGAGTGGCCTGGAACACTGCGCCAGTCCGCCCAGCTGGCTCTGTGGCTGAAGTGTAGGCCGACTTGAATTGCACCAAGTGAGCCGCAAGCTCCTCACGCCTGAAGTTAAATTGCTGCATCAAAAAAGTGTACTCGGGGGCGTGGGCATCCCCTTTAGCAAACTTGAGGACGTCAAAGCCAAGCAAGACGTCCCCCATAGGCGGCGGAGCTTTTTCATCCTGGGCCTTGTTGTGCTCGTCAATCCTCCGGTTCAGCTGCTGGGCATAAATGCGCTGCGTAAAGTCAGGAACCCTCACGGTGCCGCCTTGAGCATCCTGGATGTACCAGTAGGTGGCGCCCGGCACGGGCAGATGATCGAAGCGGCGCGCATCGCTCAGCAGCTGCTCCTTCATCTCCTTGTAGCGTCCAAAGGTGGTCACCTGCGTGTGCCCAGCCACGTAGTCTTGCACGTATTTGCGGTAGTCGTAGTCGCTATAATAGCGCCTTATGTTGTGAGGTCCTTCGGAGTCGCCCAGATGGAACCCATCCTCACCGGTTACCGGCACTTGTTGTGGCTCCTCGACGAAGCGTTGCTGTACCGATTGCCTGTATTCTGGATCTGAATGATAGCGTGAGGAGTCGAGTGTGAATGTCTCTGCTTCCATTGAGCCAGGTTCACGAGCGGAAGTTGAGGGTTATCGCTGGTCCTTGAGCAGAGTCGAGCTTCGGAGTGGCGATGAAGATGAACTGGTTGACTGTCTCGTGCGAGGCAAGTGTTGTCTTGGTTTGGCATTTTCTCAAGATATCGACTCGAGGAAGAATAAACTGGGAGATGTAAAGATATATATTCAGCTTTTGGGGCCATGATGTAATGTAAAATTCGTTTGATTATACTATTGGAAAAGCTTGTGCTATGCTAAGATTTCTCTCCCGCTACGGCAGAGGCGATATCTGTTCTAGGCGCGTTGATGGTCTGCACGCATCCGTATCCCCTATGTGCCATGAAAGTTAAACTCTTCTGGTACTCATGCTTAAAACATGCTCAAGTTGACAGGATTTGGCGGCGGGCCATGATGGTTTTCTGCTTTGTAAAAATGGCCTTCATCCCGAGTGCCGGCATCGCTGTAATTTCGACATGTTGACTTACAACCTCCAGTTCGACACTCCAGTAACACAGCAGATGCCTGCCTATGCGGCTGAAGCTCACCACCCAGGCAGCAGCTCAGCCCGCCTGCTGTCTTGGCCCCAACCACGCCAATCAAACCAAATCCCCACCCACTTGACAATTCTGCCGCCCCACACCTCACCGCCCAGCTCCCTTGCTATAAAAGTCCTCGCAGCCCGCGCACTTTTTAGAATCTTTTTTTCCTTTCTTCTTTAGCTCTCTTTGCCTTTTGGCTTAGATCAAGTGTAGTATCTGTTCTTTTCAGTTTAATCTCTGAAAGGTCTCTAAGGAGACCAATCGTGATTATTCTTATTTTTGTCCTCGGAGCAGTTTCCTCTGTGCTTGCGCATGATTCTGCTCACAGTGTCCCTGGTATTACACTGCCTCCAGGCGACGCGACCTTGACCTTCTTTTCATTGCTTGCCGGGGCTTGCCCTGGCAGTGAAGAAGAGTTTGCTTTTTCTCGTAGATAATTCTGCTGTTGGCTCTGTCGTTTTGATGTCGTAAATATATTGGTAGATTTTTGCGTGATTCTGCTCTCCAAAGCTGTAGCCTCACGCTCCAATCAAATCTCGATGCAACCTTGTTATGATGCAGCCTCGCCATCTCCCCAAAATCGTAAAATTCTGCCCTCATCCATCCATCTGTAGCTCCTCCAACCGCCGTATTTCCATCCCAAACATCCAGACAGATCCCAACATCTCCAGCCACTAAGGAGAAAGAAAGGAGAAAAAAACTTTTTGCCAGACCAAACCACCATCTCAGCCACACAAAATCTCATCACAAGCAAACAAAGCAAGCTTCACACACAATGGCTGCCCCTCCACCAGCTCTCCTCGACCCCTCCATCTTCGCCTCCCTCGAGGCCAAGCTCGAGGAAGAGACCCAGATCCGCGATACTCTGTCCCAGCTCATCCAGCGACTGGATCGAGCCGTGGCCACGGCCCAGGGCCTGCTCTCACGAGTCCACTCGACGCCTCGCTCACGCTGTAAATGCTCACCATATCACATCATTTCATCTCCATGCTAACCCTCACATTCACAGACCCCCAGCTAGTCTCCCAAGTCGAGGCCGCCGTCAAAGAAGAAGCCGCCATCATCAGCGAGCTCGACACGGTCGCCTCCAAGCACCCATACTACAAGTTTGTCCTCCCCCACTCTCACTTCACAATGAAGCACCAACTCACTCACTTCCCCCAGGTACAACCAGAGATGGACGCGCTCAATGCAGCACGCCATCGGCACCGCCATCTACTGCGCCTGGCTGGGCGGCTTCCCCTCCCAATCTTCTGAATCCGAAGCCTCTTCGCCCGCTGAAATCGGCCGCCTCCTCACCCTCGAAGAAGTCGGCACCATCTTCTCCGGTAAACCCTCCTCCCTCTCCCACCCTCCCTCAGTAGATAGAAAGAAAAAGACAGAGAGAAGAAGAAGAAAAAACTGCGCAAACTAACAACAAACCTCCCAACCACCCAGTCCCCACCAACCTCAAAGACCGCGACGCCTTCCACATCACCATAGAAGAGTACCTCCTCTCCCTCGTCGACCTCACCCAGGACCTCTCCCGCCTCGCCACAAACTCCGTCACCCTCGGCGACTTCCAGCTGCCCCTCACCATCAGCGCCTTCGTCAAGGACCTCTTTGCCGGCTTCCAGCTGCTCAACCTCAAGAACGACATCATCCGCAAGCGCGCCGACAGCGTCAAGTACGAGGTCAAGAGGGTCGAGGACATTGTCTATGACTTGAGCCTGAGGGGCTTGATTCAGAGGCCTGGCGCCGGGGACACGGAGATGGAGGCTGCTGAGTAGTTGAAAGAAGAAGGAGGAAAAAGTTAGGACCTGTCGAGAAAAATGGTTTCATGAGAAATACAATCGTACTCATTTATTTTGTTTAACGATGCAAGCTACGTATTTATTAGCTGATATTCCAGCTAAGGGCGGAAAACGATTCAAATGGAATGGGATATGGCAAATTCGTTTCATTCAACTGATACATAAACAAAGAAGCTCTCCATTTGTCTTCTGAGTTTACCTTCGGATGCAGTCAGACCCTGGAGAATGTGATTTGCCATATTGCACTTTTATTACGTGTGGCTCAGGAAAAAGAAGCTTCGTGCATAAAGGTGTTTCCATATGCACAGACTATATATCTGTTTTAACAAAGAATATCCGAAGGTTGTGCAATAAAACGACTCATATCTAATATACAGGCATGTACTCCGTAGGTACGCCCAAATTGTTTGTTGGAATGATTATTGCCCCATTTCCCCACCGTTCTAAACTTCAACGCCTGTCATGTTTCCAGTTATCCCGCTGTCCGTGATAAACATATTCGAGCTTTATGCCACGTTTGTTTTGTATGTCTCGACACATTCCCTTGATAGAATAACGAAAAGGAAAATTGAAAAAAAGAGAGAAACGAAAAAGGGAGCCTTCTTTCACCCGTGTCTAAAGGTGCACTTATCACCTCGAGCACACTTGCCTTGCTGCCAGAAAGTGCATGGCTTAGTCCCTATAAGAGCCTTGTTGGCAGGCTTATGAGGTGGCAGCGTGCCCTTCTTTTTCCGACCTTCCTTTCCGTGATCACCCCCTCTCTCGCCTCCTCTCGGATTATCGTTTCGATCCCAATCTCGCTCTCGCTCTCGCTCCGTACCATGGCCAAAGGACGGCGGTGGTGGCGGAGGAGGAGGCGGCTGCTGGCCTTGCGCCATTTGAGTGAGCATCATTAGCTGCTGATACGAGGGGTCGTTCGGGTTCAGGAAGCTAGTAATGTTTGCGGCTTGCACCGCGGCAGCTTGTTGAGGTTGGTTGATGGCTGCGAGAATCGACTGTAGTTGACCGTCGGGAATTTGGGATGGCGCCGGTGCTGCTGTCGATGGAAGTTGGGGAATAGCTTGGTGCTGCCCGCCAGTCATCTGTTGCAAGAGTGCCATGTATGGGGCGATATTCTGTTGCTGGGCATATTGCGCCGCCCAGTCTTGAGATTGGTTGTTATTCGGTGGGTTAGCAGCGGCAGCGGCAGTAGCAGCGGCAATCTTGAGTGCATTTGCTTCGGCTTCTGCTCTTGCTTGTGCTTCTTCCTCTTTCTTCTGCCTGGCCGCCACCTCCTTGTTATATCCGAACCACCATTCCCTGACCCTCTCTTGATCAAACGAAAGCCAGTCTGGTGGTGAGGTGGCAGGAAACGGCTTGCCGACCAAGCTCCTCGCAGCGTGCTCAACAGCGTTTCCATTAAGTCGTACTGTAGGGTCTGTATAGTTGTAGGGACGCACAGTATCCCCGTATTGAACAGGGTTGGCATCGCGCCAAGCCTTGGTCTTGTCTGACTCAAGTGCCGTAAGTACGAGTGCCTCTGCTGCAGGCCCCAACAGAATCGGAAGCTGGTGATATATCTGCCTGGATTGCACGGAAGATACAGGTTGTGAGGAGGAGGCGGATGATGATACGCCTCCTTGAAGCCGGCCAAGAATAGAGTCAAGCTTATTAGACGGGCTATTTTTGGCGTCGAGCCGCTTCATAGCAGAGCGCAGCGCCTCATCGAGTCCGTACTGCTGTTCATCTCGCCATCTAAGCTGGATTTCTTCAAACTTGGCATTTTCTCGGGGAAGATAGCCCGTCTTGGCTTCGGGATTCGTAGTTGCCGTCTCTGGGATAGGGGACTTGGGCGTTGGAGGAATATCGTCGACGTCGGTGTAGATGGCCATAAGCTCTCTCTGTTCTCTCTCTGCGATTCGCTGCTGTTCGTCCGTTGTGAAAGTCACCGTACCGCCACGCGTAACGTAGTTCTTACTCCGTACATCGTCGGGCAGTGCCGAAAAGTCCATCTCGACAGGCTCCTCCCAAGGCTGGTAAGGAATGTCGTCGTCATCTTCGTCTTCCTCAACGTTTGCGCGCTGTTTCAGAACCATGCCCTCAGAACGGTCGTCGGCTGCGTCTCGTATCATGTTGCTCTCCCTGCCTTCGTCTTCTTCATCGTCCTTGTGGAAGATTTTGACTTGCACAAGCTCCGATTCAGGCTTCCAGCTGACCCTAAGCTTTCGGCGAGCCTCCTTACGAAGTCTTTTGGCCTTTTCTTCTGGCGCTTCTGGGGTACCAGACTCTCTTGTCTCTCTGGCTACTGGAACAAGAGCTTCAGCCGCTTTGGGTGCATTGATCGAGTCAAGCAGGGAAGCAATTCCCGACAAGGCGCTGGCGCTTTGCGCCGAAGATGCCTTTTGCGCGAGGGGTTTGGCTTCCACCTTGGTAGCAACCGGCTTGCCAGCTTCCGTCTTTGTTACTGCTTTCTTGACGTCTACCTTGCTCTTATCATCACTAGACGCTGATGGGCTGTCTGCCTCTGACTTGACCGCTGGTTTTGGTACAGGCCGGACCTTGCCAGGTAGTATCGACGAAGGGGCCTTGGGTGCAATGATTTTCGATGCGGCTGGTGGGTGAATCTTCGGCTGGGCCAGCTTCTTGCTAAGAGAGCTGCTACCAGGCTCCACCGCAATCTTCTTCACAGTCCGAGAGTCCGTGTCGTCGTCTCGACCTCGTTTGACTGAAGCCGCCTCTGTAGATAGTTTATTGCCGGCTTTCGCTCTGCTAGCCGCAGAGGTTCCAGTGTATCCCGTCGCCGTTTCTGGTTCTGTAGTTTTGGTAACCTTTTTCATATTCGCAGCAATTTCGCGCGCCATCTCCTTAACCTCATCATCGCCCTTATCTTCAAACCTTTTTCTAACCGTTTCAAAGTTGGTCGTCTCGGCAATCTTCCTTGTCATGCGAAAGTGCGTAAAGATCTCCAGCAGTGCTTTGGGTAGCTTCCCAGAGAAATCGCCTGCCTTGATTGACGAAATCATGGCGTTGACGAGGCTGAGAACCAATTTCTGGTGGCCACCAAGATTATCCAAAACGCTATCGTCCGCATGCTCAATGGTGACGTCAAGGGCGCGGTAGAAAGCTTCCTTCTTCTGCTCGGCCTCCTTCTTTAGCTCCGCAAGTTCGGCCTCCGGCACCTTATTTTTAACAGCATTATCTACGTCCAACTTTGCCTTGTTCATCTCGCCGCGAAGCTTAATGAAGAATTCACCAGCCTGCTGAACTCTGCCAGCGATGAGGGCGTTTGTACGAGCAACAGAAGCCTCAATATGGACGATTCCAACAGCATCCCACGCAGCGGCTTCGGCAGGATCAGTTGGGCGGACGGGTGAGCGGATCTAGAGACGTATGTGTTAGCGGTAAAAGAAGCTCACTCAGGTCCACAAAATACATGTACATACCGGCTTTGCTCGGTCATCCTCCTGTTCTTTCTTGGCCCTCTTTTCCGCCTTGTTTTTCGAAGCTTCATCGGATTTGAGTTGCTCCTTAAAAGCATCTGCAGATGGGTTAGCAGCAGCCACAACCATATAGAGTCAATTTCCTTCAACATACGTGGATACTCGGTGTATTTTGGCCTGCGTTTACCGAGAGCATTCATAGAGCGATCAAATTCATCCAATAACTGGCTTGCTTCTTCCCGTCGCTCGTCCAAGCCGCCCTTTTCCGCAGAGGGTCTATATTGAGTGCTAAACTTTCCCTGAATTTCGCAAGGCAGGTATCCCAGCTCGGGGATCGCAGGGCGGTCGTGGCGTGGCGGCAGTGCAATACAAGGAGATAGCTTGTCATAGCTCTTGGGTGCTGTGTGAAGGCGAATGTTAGCTCAACATGGGGTGCAGAGAGGATGGGGGATACATAGGACCTGGCAGCTTCTTACCTGGAATTTTAATAGTCCCCTCATACACTAGGTGTGGGAGTCCCTTAATAGAAGGATACTTGATCTGTGCAGCCTTGTTCCGCTTCGCAAACTGGGCGATGAGTTGCGCCTCTTCCTCTGAAGGTACGGGAACAGACAAGATTTCGGTTTCATCGCCTCTTCTTGCAAAAGCCTCGACTGGTAGATCTATAGGATATACAGGCTGCTCTGGGACTATTGGCTCAGGAGCACTCTTGGTCATGCGCTTTCTTTTCTTTGGCATCGCCTCCACCACCGGTTGGAGGATGGAAGGAATCGCGGTAGATGTAGTTACGAGGCCGCTATTAATCGGCTGCTGGGTTACTGCCCCATATTGTGTACCTGGAGCAGCACCAGCATTCGCCGCCAGCGTCGGATGGTTGGAAGATGGCGCCGAAGGTTGCTGAAGCGGTTGCGCCGGCTGCTGTACGGGCGTGCCCTGAGGGGGTGTGGTATATGTATTTGCCTTTTGGGGCGCATATCCTTGCTGTGAACTGTACTGTGGATTTGGCTGCTGATAGGCCATGTTGTTGTTTAGCTGGTATTGATCGCCCTGTCCGCCCACAGCTGCTGAGAAGGGCTGTCCCTGGTGATACGGCTGCTGCTGCTGTTGGTGTTGGACTGGCACCGGTTGCTGCGCCTGTCTAAACTGATGGCCCTGGGCAAATCCTCCTTGCAAATTATCAAACTGCTGGACGGGAGTGTGGCTTCCCTGACGAGCTGGCTGCGACACTTGCTGAGGCTGGCGGCTGAACGGAACAGCCGCATCATACAGCTGCTCGTTCTGGGGAGCGAACTGAAACTCATGTTGCGCGAATGCCTGAGACTGTGCATGCGGGTGGCTCTGAACCTGTCCCAAATGGCCCAATCCATCCCCGCCCAGATTGACTTTTGTCTGGTGTCCATATAATTCAGGGTGTATATTACTGAAGGCAGGGTCCATCACATCTTGGCTCGGCTGCGAGTACTGTTGGTTCAAAGAAAGAGCGCCATGGCCAGCATGGAACGGGGCTTGACTGGACGCAGCAGAGTGAAGGCCTCCTGCAAGAAAGGCATTTCCCTGGTGCGACGCCTCAAAGAAGTTGGACGTGGATGGATCCTGCTGGTTTAAATGAGGGTATGAGGCCTGCTCACTTGCCGGCTGTGACCACGCCTGGTTGGGATCGAATTGGTTGCTTTGGTTCGAATAGGTGTAGCCGGACTGCCAGGAATTATGCCCGTCATTTGCACCATTCTGGCCGGAGCCAGACCAGGACTGCATTTTCGGACAATTAAATCTGGTACAGGCAGCAACATACGCAAATCATAGAAATAGATGGATCTGATTCTAGAGCTATTAAGAGGCCATCAGCAAGAGGAGATGATTGGTTTGTTTACTCCAACACTCAAGGGAAGACAAAGGGAAAGTTTGGTTCTGCTAATGTGACGTCGATGCAAGAAACGCGAGCTGCGAAGGTCGCGTGGGTGTGGCTGTGGCGTTCATGCAGAAGTGCTGCAGGGCGACTGTGAGGCGGTGCAATCAGAGCTCTAAGTACTCACCCGAAGAGTTAATGTGCAGCGGTACAGCGGTACTTAGCACAAGCCACGCGAGGCCTAGCGGAAGATTGTCGGCAGAGTTCGGCAGCAGAGCGCTAGTACGGAAAAGGGCAAATTTGCATGGACAAGGGGTGGTAGGGCGAAGATTGTTCTAAAGGCAGTTCTGCTGAAGGAAAAAGAGGGCGGGTTAGCATTAGCAGAGAAAAACGACGTGGTTCGGAGTGAGATGGAATGAAGAAAACTGCCATGGCTTCATGCGACGACGAAGAAAAAGACGCTGCTCTGCTGGCGGTATGAAGCAGCGGAGTAGAACAAAGGCGAGCCGCCAATGCGCAACTCGATGCGAAACATAGAAAAGTAAGTTGCCAGTACAGAGGGTGGAGCGCCATCGCTAGCCAAGGATCGGCAAGGCAAGCAAACATAGAGCATGTGTGCCGCCATCAAGGTGACAAAGAGCCAGCCGGATTAAGGACAGGAAAAAGAGCTGTTTGGTTCGAAAAATAAATAGGGGGGGGGGTTTTTCGAAATAGACTCTTTGAGCTTCTTTTCTTTTCTTTTTCTCTCTTTGTCTTTTTTTCCTTTCTTCCTTTTATAAATGCCGGTCGGAGTGCTGACAGACGGGGAGCAGGCATGTCCCGATCCCGGTTGTGACAAAGGCATCCCCAAAGCCTCCAAGTGACGCCGCCACGACCGCCCAAGTCGGGCGTCGCGTGATTGGCAACCTGCCGACGGGCTGCGACAAGGCGCAGCAACACGGTACTTTAATCGCCTGGCCGACATCTCGCGGCCTTTCACATCTAGACCCGGGCGCGGCTAGGATGCAGGCACGGCGGAACACTGCTCGTCAGGCCCCAACGACAACACACCCTCTTGGCGGCTGGAGCTCCCTGATTTTTTACAGAGAGGCCCAGGTCCAACACCATTTCAAGGCCGAGGCCGCGCAAGTCGCTTTGCTCAACGTCTCGCATTTTAATGGTAGCAAAAGGATTATAGAGAGTGCGGCCCATGGAATTGATCATGGCCGTCACGCGATACAAAGGGCCGCTCCAACATCATGGCCGCGCCAACACCAGACAGACGCTTGCGCAGGCAAAGAAGAAAAAAACAGCTCTCGGGAAGAAGATGAAGGGGCTTGCATGTTGCGGGCTGCAGACAGGTATCGGGGGAAAAAAGAGTGCCAGAGGAGGGGATTGGAGGAGGAGGTGGGCATACCCTGCGGCTGCTGCACTTGACGCAGCAGATTTCTATCCTGTTCACAGCCTACTCTGTACTCGGTAGAAACAGAAACTTCATGGCCCCTTTCCCGCCAGGTGTTTACAGTATTATCCGGAGGCGAACACGTAGCTCGCCCTCTCCCCGACGTGCAAGATGCACGACGAAAGTAAGGGGGGTGGGAAACAACAGAAAATTGCCGTCGCGGGAGTTATTGGTCGCGAAATCCCTAAGCTCGAGGTGCCAGCGGTCTAGACACGCCGTTCCGCGATGGCGCCGATGCTGGACTTGTCGCAACCCGATGGAGACGGGAGATTGATGTTGACGGAGCGTTGTCGATGCTTGTAAAAAGTCGTGTTTGGTAGACAAGCCATGCTCGCTGGCTGGCGCCCCAGAAGTCAGGCACCAACGCGCCCGGAATCGTCCTTTGCCGGGGGCATGTCATAGTGGAGCTCCACCTGGAAGGTCGCCGGCTCGGCCATTCAGTCGGTCCGCGACAGACCACAGCAGCTGCAGCCCAGTGCCCCAGTGAGTGACCTGCTGGGGGGTGCTGTTATAGCGGGAGAGCTCCGTTTCGCAGCACCTGAGTTTGGGGGGGTAATTCGATATCGTGGCCTCAAGCTTAGACTTTACTCAACTATCGGCGCAAGCTCCATTTGGCTGCAGATTTTTGTTTCTCTTTCTTGTGCTCGGCAATCGCATGTGCATGTGCACCAAGGATTGATTCGGATCCTGCCATAGTTGTGGAGCAGCGAGCAAGTCCTCGGCCGTCTCCCATTGCGTGGCCCTGCAAGTCGGGATTGTTATCCATACCTATACCTACACATCTCTATACGACAACTCCAGCTTCCAGCCATGGCTTCCAAAGCAAACTCTCTGCGGGATCGCCAGATAGGTGAGGATGCGTGGTTAGCCTTGCGGACAGTGGCCAATGCTGACAACCTGGTGCGCCACAGCCTCTCTCAAGAAGATCCTTAACCTCAACGAAACCATCGAGTCGAGCGAGACGGAGGAAGCCCACGCCAACGGACTGCTGGCCCCTGTTGCCCCGATCCTAGATGCTGAAGGAAATCCCATCTGGAAAGTCCTCGTCTTTGATGACCTTGGCAGAGATGTCATCAGCAGTGTCATGCGCGTCAGCGACTTGCGCTCTATGGGAGTGACGATGCACATGTTAGTTCCCACATGTTTGATGTATACGGCAATGCAAGACTGAGTCTAACTGTTCGCCACGCAGGCACATCGGCACTCCACGATATCCCATACCTGACGTCCCAGTCATATATCTGCTCGAGCCGAATGCGCGGAACCTACAGCTCATGACCGAAGATCTGCAAAAGGGACTGTACTCGCCCGCTTACGTCAACTTCCTGTCCTCTCTTCCTAGAGTCTTGCTGGAAGAATTCGCGTCACAAACGGCTGAAGCAGGAACATCAGAAAAGATTGCGCAGCTTTTCGATCAATATCTGAACTTCATTGTCGCCGAGCCTGATCTCTTCAGCTTAGGGATGCAAAATGAGCACACGTATTGGGCTCTCAACAGCGCAAAAACGAGCGATGCCGAGCTGGATGCGGTAGTGGATAGGATTGTCAGTGGTCTCTTCAGCGTTGTGGTGACCATGGGTGAGTCAAAACAGTCAAATCTATAGCGATGGACCATAGGTTGACTTGTATCGTTCTAGGTGTCATCCCAATCATTCGATGTCCCAAGGGTGCCGCCGCAGAGATGGTTGCGCAACGCCTCGATCGCAAACTCCGAGATCATATTCTGAATTCAAAAGACAACCTATTCTCCAACGCGCGGCCTACAGCAGCCGGCACGCCAAGTTCTAGGCCGGTACTTATCCTCCTCGACCGCAACGTTGACTTGATACCCATGCTGTCGCATTCATGGACATATCAATCCCTTGTCCACGATGTTCTTTCTATCAAACTCAACCGCATCACAATCGAGACGCCAGTTGATGAGAGCAATCCCGCCAAGGGCACATCAAAGAAGGGCTATGATTTGACTGCCAACGATTTCTTTTGGATCAAGAATGCCGGAGTCCCATTCCCGCAGGTGGCAGAAGATATCGACGCAGAACTAACCAAGTATAAGGAGGAAACAGCTGCCATCACAAAGAACACGGGAGTGTCGAGCTTGGAAGACTTGCAAAACGATACGAGTGCAAGCGCGCAGCACCTCAAGGCTGCGATAACATTGCTGCCAGAGATGCGAGAGCGCAAAAGCATTCTAGACATGCACATGAACATACTGGCGGCGCTGTTATCTGGTATTAAGGATCGACAGTTGGATAACTACTTCCAGACGGAGGAAAACGTTATGAAGCAAACAAAGGCTCAGATTTTGGAAATCATCAAGGACGAGAACAAGGGCAACGAGCCTACAGACAAGCTGCGGCTATTCATCATTTGGTTCCTGAGCACGGAACAAGAAGTCGGGCGGACCGACTTTGAGTCGTTTGAGAAGGCTCTTGAAGCTGCGGGCGCAGACGTTTCATCGCTGCCCTACATTCGACAGTGAGTTGCAGATGGCTTATAGCAACTGTGTTACGGGCTTGTTTTTGCTAACAATAGAATCAGGGTACGGGCTACTACCAAGATGACACAGCTGACCACCATCAACAACAATTCCAATCAGCAAGCTGCTTCGTCCGACCTGTTTGGCCGATTTTCTTCCATTTCCTCCCGCTTGACGGACCGTCTCAAGGAGACTGGTGTTCCGTCTGGCCTGTCATCAAACTTTGACTCTCTGATTAGCGGAGTAAAGAACTTTTTACCTGCAGATCGTGATCTCACCATTACCAAGATTGTCGAGTCTATTATGGAGCCCTCAACGGCCTCATCTTCGGCAATTGCCAAGACGGAGAACTACCTGTACTTTGATCCTCGCTCCGCCAATGCGCGAGGCACCATGCCACCTCCGAGTGCTATCCGATCAGGGGGGCAAGGAAGCGCACCAGGTGGTCTACCAGGGTCCCAAGCCGGCCAAACAGCCAGCTTCGGGCAGCGACGGCAAGGCTTTAGCGAGGCGGTCGTCTTCACAGTCGGCGGCGGTAGCATGGAAGAATACGGAAACCTGCATGAGTGGGTTAGCAGAACAAGCGGGGATCGTGCACGCAAGCGGGTGGTGTATGGTAGCACAGAGATGATTAATGCTGGACAGTTTATTAGCGAGGAGTTGGAGAGGCTGGGCAAGGAGGTCTCATCGTAGTTGGTGAGTGACGGATGAGAAGGATGGTATTTGTGGCGGATGGACCAAAGCAGAGAAAAGCGAGGGCCGAGATCAGGCGAAGGAACCAATTCCGCCGATGCGATCTGGTTGATATCGGGTAAAAATGGTGTTTTGTTGGGCGCTGTTCATAAGCACATACAATAATGAAGGAATAATATTAGAAGAGCCGATGGAGAGAGAAACAAGGCTCAAAGTAAGAATCACTGTCTTTATTGTATATCTAGATGTGAAGTCCCTGCTAATTAACTCGCGTAATATTTTATTATCATACCAACAGAAGGATGTGATGTGAATTCGTTGCTTTGATCAACCTGTAATTCAATGTCCATTCTTTTACCCTGTAGTGCTAATTGTAGTAGATGCGGCTTTGGAGGCTGCTTGAATTGGCTAACCCGACACTAACTGCACACTTGCGTTGCCTCAATGACGCGAGCTGCATCGAATTGTCTTTGGAACAGCGCCCTTTAGTGCATTTGCAGGCCCTAGAGCACCTGCAAAGCTCACCAACAGCGCCCGCCTTCAGCGCGCTGAAAGACCAAAAAATTGACGGCAACCTGAAGGAATTGATCCAAAGCCCAAAGCTACGAAGAGCATCGCGTAACGCCCCTTTGCTTAGGTTTTCATCAGCCTCCTTTGACACTGACTCTTCTTCATCCTTCGTTACCACCCACTTTTTTTTCTTTTCTGTCCATAATGCGTTAACGACCTCTCTTTTCCTTACACTCTCTTTTCCTCTTCCATCGTCAATGCCATCAGCCAACACGCCTCTGCTCAGGCCTGATACGAATTAACCATCCATTCCGAGAACGCATTTCCTCCAGCTGCATCGCGCGACTGCTCTAGAATTCCACGCCGGAATCGCGCATTCCGCACCACATTCACAATAGCTTCATCAACCCTGCCAATCCACCCCCATCCGGCCGTCGCGATGGCGGACTCTCCAGCCAAAGCCGACGGCGGCTCCGAACGGAGGCCAGCGGGCTACAAGTCGTGGAAAAAGAAGTATCGAAAGATGCGTATCGTCTTCGACCATAAGATGCACGAGTGCGAGGAGCTGCACAAGCAAGAGGCCAAGGCCGCCAACACGGTGAAGCGCTTGGCCATAGAGAACGAGTATGTACAATTCCTGCTGTCCTTTTCATCACGAAGCGGGATTCCGATCTAACTCGTCATTTGCTATGTAGCCGGCTTCTGGATCTGCTCCTTGAAGTCAACAATTCTCCCCAGATCCCCTCAGACCGACGGATAGACTTGTCTCTCAAGCCTCCCTCAGACGAGAATGCCCTCTGCTTGCCCATGGACCGCGACCGCAGCAAGGACAAGGAGGCTGCTATGAAGAAGCTCGAACAGCTGCTCAGCGACATCCCCCATTCGACCTATGGCTCTGCCAAAGAGACCAAATCCTCGTTCCTTGCCGACTTGAGTACGCCTGATGGCGAGTCTCATCCTGCACATTTCCTCTCTGCCGACGACATTGACGACTACATCTACCTTGTCGATACTGGGATCGACCCTGACTCAACCCTGCCCACGATGGCGCCGCTCGCTCACCCCATTGCCCGCCCCCCTTCAAATCCCCAGACCAAGAACCCTACTAGTGTCACGAATTGGCTGCGGAAACATGCGCCCAAGATCTTCCTTCAAGACGGAGAGACGCATGGTGATGGCGACGACGAGGCTGCGGGAGCTGGCACGGGCGCTGGTGCCGGCAGCAGTCATGCCAGCGCGCGAAAGCCGCGCGGAAGTGCTAAGGGAGAGCGCGGTGGCAGCAAAGCCAGTGGCAAGGGCAAGAAGGGTGGCGCGGCTGCGCGGCTCAGTGCCGCGGCTGAGCGCGGAGATGGCGATGCCAGCATGGACGACGATGGCGATTTCGGAGCAACACCCGTGGCCCGCAGCAGCAAGCGTAAGAGGGACGACGATTCCGGATATAAGCCTAGAGGGTCTTCAAGCCGGCCGACCAAGAAGAAGCGAAAGAGCGACGCCGAGGCGACCCCTACGTCGCGTAAATCCAAGAAGGACGTTGCAGCTGCTAGCAAAGACGATTAGGGAGGTCGTCCCTGGTGATTATTTCTGGGAGATTATGCACTTGAGAGATACGGTTATATGCGCGGCCATGTAGGCACGCACCATCATCAGGCCTTTATGCTACTTCTAGTCTCGGCTCTATTCATAACGTCTGGGAGGGATCTGATATTGTTTTTGCTGTTTCGCAGATTTGTCCCCGCCCATTGTCATCTTGCCCTATGGTAAGACACTCAAGCGAGAGACGTTTTTTTTGCAAACCAGATCGGGAGAGAAAGAAAGAAAGGGGGCTAATGGAAACCTCGGGCTTTGGGGGAGGCGGGTGTGCTGGGATACCTTCAAAGGGAAACTGTCGGTGTTTGACTTTTACGTGTACTTTTCATGCCGTTTTCCTTTTTTTGCTTTTGTATTCCCTAAAAAAACTCGAAACATGTTGGTAATAATAGATGTATTCTAGCAAAAAAAGAAATTCACAATACGAGGAGTCAGCGCGCTGATATGATGTGATGTGTGATGGCTGTAATCTGTACACAAGAAAGACTCGGGCACGATAACTTCACACTCGTCGTGCTGCGTGTTTATTTTTCTTCTTCAACGCTATGTTTCATTTCTAGACAACTCCAAAAAAATGGTCTTGAACAAAACAATTCTATGTACATGACATCTCTATAGAAATACTTGATACATAGTGGTATACAAATGCGCTCATCCAACCCCTTCTTTTATACATCATCTCCGGAGTTGTTTGTTTCCCCTTCTCCCATAGCAGAGAATTGGTACTTATGTGTGTTTTTTTGCTTTAAATCACGCTCATCAATAAGTAAATCGGGAACTCAAATCCCCAATTTACAGCTTGTGACCAAGCATAGACTTGAGCCTCCTCTCAACGGCATCCATGTACTCATTCGTCGTAACATAGTCCTCACGAGCAGTCTTGCCGCACGCCAGCGCGAGATCCTTGGTCATGATGCCGTCGACGTCGACGGTGTCGACGCAGGCCTTCTCGAGGCTCTCGGCAAAGGCCACCAGCTCGGGGGTGTTGTCGAGCTTGCCGCGCTGGACGAGGCCGCGGGTCCAGGCGAAGATGGAGGCGATGGGGTTGGTGGAGGTCTCGCGGCCCTTTTGGTGCTCGCGGTAGTGGCGGGTGACGGTGCCGTGGGCGGCCTCGGACTCGAATGTCTTGCCGTCGGGGGTGATGAGGACCGAGGTCATGAGGCCGAGGGAGCCGAAGCCCTGGGCAACAATGTCGGACTGGACGTCACCATCGTAGTCTGTGGGGAGAGGTTCAGTTAGTCATGAATTAGCTAGGTGGGAATATAGAGAGGGATGCTTACTCTTGAGAGCCATAATGTAGCCGCCAGAGCTCTTGATCATCTGAGCGACCATGTCGTCAATCAGACGGTGCTCGTACCAGATGCCCTTGGCCTCGAACTCGGGCTTGTACTGGTTGTCGTACAGCTCCTGGAAGATGTCCTTGAAGCGGCCATCGTACTTCTTGAGGATGGTGTTCTTGGTGCTCATGTACAGGGGGAGCTTCTTGTCCAAGGCCAGCTTGAACGAGGCGTGAGCGAAACCAGTGATGGATTCGTCAGTGTTGTACTGAGTCTGGGAGACACCGCCGCCGTTCTTGAACTGGAAGACCTCAATCTCCTCGGGCTTGCCGCCCTCCGGGGTGAAGACCATGCTCAGCTTGCCAGGGCCGGGGACGACGAAGTCCTTGGCGCGGTACTGGTCACCAAAGGCGTGACGCCCAATGATGATGGGCTGCTTCCAGCCAGGGACGAGACGGGGGACGCGAGGGATGACGATGGGCTCGCGGAAGACGGTGCCACCGAGGGCATTTCGGATGGTGCCGTTGGGGGAGAGCCACACTGGAGATCGGGTTAGAAGGGATTTCACGAGATCTGGAGAAGTAACGTACTCTGCTTGAGGTTGAACTCCTTGACACGGGCCTCATCAGGGGTGATGGTGGCGCACTTGACACCAACAGAGTACTTCTTGATAGCCTCGGCAGCATCCAGAGTGACCTGGTCGTTTGTCTCGTCACGGTACTCCAGTCCCAGGTCGTAGTACTTGAGGTCAATGTCGAGATAGGGGTAGATGAAGCGGTCCTTGATGCTCTGCCAGATGATACGGGTCATCTCGTCGCCGTCCAGCTCGACGACGGGGTTCTGGACCTTGATCTTGCTTGCGGTAGCCATGTTGCGAGCGGCAATGGACAGCGTCTGGACAGCGCCAAAGGAGGGTCGAAGAGGACGGAGAGGCTGGAGAGGACGGAGGGCGGCGCGGCGGGAGAGGGAGGCGAGGAAGCGAGGAGCTGCACTCATGATGGGCGAAAAAGGGGAACAGTGGATGAGAATAGGTTATTTCAACACAGGCCGATTAGCCTTGGACCACAACGCTCGGTATAGTGGGCGCGGAGTGTTTCCCGAGGTAACTGTCGCAAGTTGAAGCCGATAGCGGGACGCTCTATGGTATAGCCGGGGAGCCAGAGATGCTGTTTCCTCCTCTTTCGCTTTCCTTTTCTTTTTTTACGGCTTGTTCTTGTATAGAATGATTCGCTTTGCGCTGATTCTGTCTTGCGACTGCGTGTAAAGCAAAGGCGAAACCGGTGGCGTCGTTGCGACAGCTGGACTCAATGTTTACTTGGAGTGGCAAAGCTGAGCAGACGATAGCCGATGCGATGCGATGCGACCAAGGTGGGGTGCAGCAGACGGATCGGAGAACGCGCGGGGGGCCGAACGGAGAACGACTTTTCGATTGCAACGCTGCTGAGGGGATTTTCCAGTTAGCAAGGAGGACGGGAATCGATGGGGGTTTATATGTCAATTGTGTGACGCATACCTTTGGAGAGCAACGGCCAACGAGACCGGAAATAAGAGGACGCGGGAAGGAGAAGGGAGAAAAAAATTATGAGAGAGAGGCAATCGTCGTTATCAATTAGTCGATATCGATATGACAGGCGCCGACAAACGGAGCTGGACCCATGGGAAGCCCATAATTCAGACTATTGCGATGCAGATATTACTTGACCTTGTTACTTGGTATTTGCTTTTGTTTGCTGCAGAATTGTACATTGTTGGATGTAGATCGCGTACAACATGGCCAATGCTTGTGGACGGCAAAACTGAGTAAGCCGGTGTTTCCCTCTCTCTTTTTCCCTCTCTCCATCTCTCTCCTCGCCTGACATCGGACTTTTTAAGCCGACTCAAGAACCCTCCAAGCAGCTTCTCCGTTTCACACGCATGTCTTTGTTTTGTGTGTGTGTGTGTCTCCCCCACAGTTGCAGGGAGGATCCACTGCAAGGGACGGATATTACTAACTCGACGAGATTTTATTACTGGTTTGAAGTAGGGCGATTTGCATCTAGCAGGGCGTCCCTTGAACGGCATTTCTGGATCAACCGCCGATGTAGGAGCATGTCAAGCTTGGCTTTGCTGGGCACTCAGTCATTTCATACGGAGCAGCAACTGTACAGTATCAGAGCTTGTGTTGTTGATGTTGTTGTTGTTGACGTCTTGAGGCTCAAAATACACCACCAACACCAAAAAAACGCCAGCTTGTCCTCTTCTCTCCAACTTCCTTATTCTCCCCCAATCTCGCGCAATGCACCACCACCACCACACATCCCTTTTATCCGGGCTCAGCCGCGCGACAAGAAAATAACCAGCTGCTGTAAACAAGCACATCCAACCCTGCGGTGCGTGCGGGGTTCCCTGCTAGATGTCGAATGCGGAAGAGTTGGAGATGCAGCCATGCTTAATTCCCCTCTCTTCCTCCTCGTGTATGCGTTGCAGGCGATGCAAGGGGGAGCAACGCTGCAGTAGAGCGCCTTGGCCGAGTCTTCCGCTCTCGTGATGATGGGCTGCTGCACGCGATTGTGCACATTGTTGTCCCAGGCTGCCTCGGCCAGGTTCTCCTCCCTCATCCATCAAACATCATGAGATGCCCCCCGAATATTGTGCCACTGTGAACCGCCAGTCCCCCGCACGCTCCCCCCCCCGGATATTCCGTGTCTTGTCCACATGTCCATCACTCTGGATACACCATCTTCCTCGTTACTCCTCCGTCCACCACCATCTCCACACCCGTCACGCCCTCATTCTCGGCCAGATAGAGCACCGCCTTTGCAACATCCTCCACCTTTCCCACCCTCCCCGTAAGCTGCCACCTCATGTCTGCCTCGCTCAAGCCGTCCTCCCACTTGACGCCCTTTTCATCCGCCTCACGGCTCTCGTTCAAGACGTGAATCCAGCCTGGAAGCACCGCACTCACGCGGATGTTGTCCCGCGCCAGAGAAACCGCCATGCTCTGCGCCAGGCCTAGCATCCCGGCCTTTGTTGTCGAGTAGGGCTCATTATCGGGCTCGCTCATGACGGCCCGGGTTGATGAGACATGGATCACGCAGCCTCTTGCCGCTCGCAGCATCCCCAGACACGCCTGCGTCATGAGCATCGGCGCCGTCAGATTCGTCTCGATGCTCTTGTTCCACTCCTCCAGCGTCATGTCCGCCAGGCTCGTGCCGCCCACGCCGCCCGTATACGCCGCGTTGTTCACGAGACAATCTAGCCGGCTTGCAAACAGCTTGTCCGCCTGCTGCACCGCCGCAGTAATCTCCCGTGGCTGTCGAAGGTCACACAGCGCCGCCTCGAAATCCTGTCCGCGCCGGTGTGATTTTGCCAACAGCCCGGCCGTGTGATCCAGCTCCGCCTTGTTGCTGTCCAGGAGAAAGACCCGGTGGCCGGTTTGGAGCAGAATCCGGGACAGACCCCGGCCGATGCCCCGCCCGGCGCCGGTGATGAGGAACGTCTTTTGACCCGATGCCATTGCTTGGGGATGAGAGAAAAAGTACACGTAAAGTGGAGGTGGAAGCTCTGAGCTTGAAGTTGAATGAAGCTTTTACGCCCCTCCCCGCTTATATATTTTCCACGGCTAATGATGTCACTTGGCATATTCAAGCTTGCACTTTGACTCCAATTGCTCCATATATCCTGGACTATCAAGACATATTTTTGGATGACAATGGCGTTAACGGATGATTATTGCATCAATAGCGCTCTCGATTCACCAGAAATACCGCAGTAATATCACAAGTTCACTGTCTTGGAGATACAACTCGCCAGATTCGGTCACGACTTAATGACTGCGCTTTAGGCCCAAACAATAAAGTTCATTAACAGCAATAAGGTTCGATGATGATTCCACAGCTGATTATATGAGCAATATTGCGCCATTTTATCGAGGTATAAAAGGCTGCCACAATCCTGATTGAAGAGGCAAGCCATCGTTAACCACAACACTTACATATCAAAGCACCCCGCGTCTGCATCTTCCCACAGAAATCGATCATACGCGAAGAAAAGCAACTGACCCGAGTAACCAACGAAGTTCATCAGCTTTACTAACCAGGCCACCGCAACAGCCAAGGTGGGGAAAATCTACTAATAATGAGGTGCCGATGGTGCCAACATCACGGCTAGCGACGGGAATGTGATCAATGACGCAGGGTTGATTAGCCACTCCTAGAGGAGGAGGAGGAGGAGGAGCCGTTGATAACTCTGCGCCATTGATTACGTTCTCGTTGCTTTCTGTGGCTTTGGGATCATCGGTATCGTGAATTGTAGCTATTGCCATCTGGGACGTTGCGGTTGACTGTTTTTCTTTTTGTTTCCTTTGGCTCTGCTGGATAGTTGTTTGACTTTCTGAGCGGCCTGCTGCATATTCTTCTTATTGTCTGTAAGTCTCCTCAAGGATGTTGGATTAATGCAATAGTCTGGCTGTGAGATGGGTTAGCTGAATATTGGCTTTTGGTGTCACCTCGATCGGAGAGCTAGGCATAACATGTTACTGAACCAGCACGTAAAAGATTTGAAATAAACTGTCTTTATTTATTTGTATTCTTGAATCTGAGGCATCACCCAGTGACTAAATGTCAAAAATATCTCCAATCCCTTGCCCTCCACCTCTCCGCACATCCACAACGTCCAGCCTCCATCCCTCCCAGTGTTTCAGCGACCGCTTAATCTCCTTGATTCTTTCTATCCGCCTCTTCGCCTCTTCCTCGTGGGCCTTTCTGAAAGCTTCTTCGTCAAACTCCACATCGTCATCAGCCAGCAGATCGTCATCGCCGCCTCCTGCCAGGGCATTCAGGCCATGTGCGATAAAGTCGCCAATGCCACCCGTTGATCCCTTCTTGTGCGCGGGAGGGTGGTTGTTGCCTGAGAGATCCACGTCGTCGAACCCGGGACTGGTGGCTTCCATCTCGCGTCGTCTCTCGATCCAAGCGCCGCTGCGAAGCTCGTGAATCTCCGCCTCGAGGCTACGAATCTTTTTCTCGAGCTTGAGTCTGCCCTCATCCTCGAGTTCATCAACGCCCTCGTCGTCAAGGCCACCACCGCCATCTGCCGACTTGCGGCTTGCAAGTTTGGCGTTTTCGCTCTCTAGCTTTTCAACCCTGGACCGCAGTTCCTGAGCCTCACTTTCTGCCTTCTCCTTGTCTTTCCTCAGGGTTTGTGACCGTGCGTCCTGCTCTTTATGCAGAGTAGTCAGCGTTGTGACCTTTTTCTCAAGCGCCTCAGCCTTCTTCTCCAATTCCTCCTTTGCTTTGTTTGCTTCATCTAGTTCACGTTCCAGTGTCTTCGCCTTTGTCTCAGCACTGGTTCGCTCGCTGCCTTCGCGGACAGCCTTCTCGGTGGTTCGCTCAAGGTTCTTCTTCAAGTCTTGCAGTTCACGCTGAGCTTTGCCTGCTGCGGCTTCAGCGCGGGCAACCTTGTCTTCCAGTGCGGTTATCTGCTCCTTTTCTGAAGACGCCCCGCTCTCCTGGCGCTCGACGAGAGCCTTGAGCTTTGATATTTCACCCTCCATGTGCTCAATCTGGGTTGATTTGGCCTGCAGTTCGGCTTGCAATGACGGAGGGGAAGCGTTTATTGACACTGATTGACGATGTGCGTGACCAGAGGTGCGTGACACTTGCTGCTGTAGCTGAGAATTTTGACGCTGTAAAGACGCAATCTCCTCTTTCTGCGATGCCGTTAGTACGTAAGTCCCTATGGGAATCGATTCCATTTCACTTCTGTTACATACCAGCTTCTCTGTTTGGCCATCTTTGCTGTCTTTGCCGTCAGATTCACGCAGATCAGCCAACTCTTCCTCTGCCTTCTTCCACCTCTTCTCCGAGTCGGTTACGTCCTTGGTGAGTCTCTTGTTCTCCTTCTCCAGCTCTTCTATTCTAGCCACATGCTTTCTATAGATGTCAGGAAGCGTGTCACCCTCGGGGCTGAATGGCCCAGGTGACATTGGCCCCGGGCCTACAATCGAGCCGGCGCGGAAAGAGGTGGACCTGAGCTTTGATTGTTGCGCAAGGGATGGTGTGTCGGAGGGCGGCGACTCGACGGCCTTTTCTGTTTGTTCTTCTTCGGCCTTGGGCTCCTCCTCAACCTTGGGCTCTTCTTCGACATTAGGTTCCTCGGTAGCCTTGTCATCTTCGGTAGCCTTGTTGTCGTCGGCGGCATTATCATCTGGTTGAGCCTCCTGGCTCTGCTCCGGGGTGTCTTCGACGGTGTCGGGGGCAGACGCCTCTGCATCACCCTTGGGCTCTGCCTTTGTGGAAGACGCATCCTTCTTCTTCTTCTTCTTCATTTGCTCGACCTAGAGAAGCCTTGTCAGCCACAGATACCTTGATGGGCCCGGCGACAGGGTAGCTAAGCTGGGGTGGAAACGAGGCGGGATTCTCACGCGCTTCCTTGCGGCAGCAAGCTTCTCCTGCTTCTGGCGCTCCTTTTCTTCTGCGTCTGCCATTGTCAATGCGTTGAGGCGGAGGCAGCTATTGCAAGTTGTTTTGAAGCTGTCTTGGCTGGTGACGATACGCGGTTCGGCTGCCCTTGGCTTGCGGGACCTTCGTCATAGGTGGCCACTGGAGCTTATACAGTGTCATGTATGGGCACTGTGGAATATACACTGTATGTATATAGTCCTCGTGGTGGAAGGAAGTGTACGGAGTAATACTCGTATAATTATGAGGAATGCATCTTGACCATGGATATCACAGTCTACAAATGGCCAATTTAGTCTGTTGTCGTGGCCATAATATCATGACATTTCGGCAAAAGGGTGGGCGTTGCAATCCAAATGACTGCAGCTATGCACCTTATGCCTGGCTACCTTATCGCAGCTAGGCACCATTACTATTGATGAAAGGCGAATCAATGTGTAAAATATCCACAGAAAGTGCATTGCCACAATCAGTTACTTCTTCTTCTTCTGTGTTGAATAGCTGGAAATGTCAGAATGCGAGATCCCCTAGGTATAGTAGGTAGTTGCCAGAGTAGCTGGTAGCTATAGTGGCAAGAGTACCTTGTCCCTGCCCGCCCTTTTATAGGCACCTACCTCCTGTAAGGCAGCCTTATAGCACAGGGCAGCTGAGGCACCGATAGAGGCTTTGATAGAGGCTTTGATAGAGGCTTTGATAAACCATCCATGATTGATCATACCTACCTTGGATGATTGCCTTGGATGATTCAGGATTGCTCATTGCTCCTGCCTCTGCGCCTTAGCGAACAATGTCTGGTGCGTAATCAACACATGACAAGGGGCAGATGCTTTGCCTTGCTCTTCCTCATCGTCAGCATTGTTCTCGGTTTCTTTTGCTGCTCTTTTATCTCTGGAGTTCGCCATCCCTCTCTCCATCTCTCCTCATCACGTCATATCTTCACCACTACTCTCCTATGATCGTCACTTATCGAAAAAGAACCTTATCGATTCTTTCTCCATCCACCACGAACCTCAGCATGAACTGGACGGGAGGTAATCTCTCCCGGCATCGCCGGGGTAAAGGCTGGAAAGAGGAAATGGCACGCCAAAAGGAATATTTCGCCAAGGCGCGCTCTCGACGGCTTGAGGGTGTGAAATCGAGTCCTGTGCCTCTCTCTGCAGCTAATTTCATTCCCAACTACACATCTCCGCCGGAAGCTCCCACGGGTCTGGGGTCAGCAACATCGACGCTGATTAGTAAACCTGCATGCGCTGCGGATGAGATATCGACAAGCTTGGATAATCCGCCTGAAGCCTTGCAAAGGGAGGTTACTGAGCTTTCGTTACTTGTTTCACCAGGCAAGATGGATGAATTCCCCATGTTGAATCAGGCATCAAAATATCATTCCATGGGTGCTTCTGATCTAGAAACTGCGCTTCGGGAAACTTTGAAAAAAGGTGACTTCGAAAGAGCCAAACTGCCGAAACTCTCAGTGATGGAGCCCGCACGGCACATTTTCGAGCATCCCCCCCTTTTCAAGCTTACCTTGGAACAGCAACGCAGGACTTCTACAGGCCGTGACAGGATATCACCCAGTTTCGACAGACAAAAGGACATGAGAACACGAGGAATGATTCAGAACACACCTTCACCCAGTCCTAGGTCGGCGAGAATACGAATTGGCAGTCAAGATTATCGATGGAGCGTGGTGAGAAATTCCATCGGGAATCTCACTTTCGGCGACCACTCGGCGACCAAAAGTACCGTATCCAAACAAACAAAGTATAAAACACAGCCAGGAAGCATCAGTAATGCATCCTACATCATCAATGAGTCTTTTACAGGCTTTTCTCTGTCGAGTAGCGACCTGTCTCTGTCATCGCCGGGCAGGAATAGAGCAGCCCGCCGTCAAGAATTGCACAATTCACCAAATAAAGTTGTCGGGGCGGCTTCGGCAGAGTTCAAGTTCCCGCTACCACATTGTGCTTGCGGAGCAGCGATGAATGTATCACCAGCAGCATCCGAAATCGAGTCTACCGACAGCATAGCCGTACAAGTCAGTGATGGCGAACTCGGCCCACAAACTGAGACGGACGAAGAACGGATTTGGAGACAGTGGCTAGGATGAAAACAAGGGTTAAACCCTGTGTCAACAAGAAGCATGGCCAGATTATGGACACTGTCAGATTCTGAATGAGGCCCTCTGGAACGAAGACTCGTGCTTCGTAGCTGCCCAGGGATTGGCACGGTTAGGTTGCCGGCGCAGGTCGGCGACCGGAGTTGTCTCCTAGAGGCTACTTGAGATGCCGAAGACAATTTGACGGAGGATTGACATTAATTCGCGTATCATATTCCCTTTCGAAGCATATAGCCGAAGTGGTGGACAAGCAGCAGCATCAGCTCTCGGGGGGGTGATACGGAAAACCACATGTTAAGGGACGAGGAGCCCCACACGAAGTTGAAAAACACAACTGCCGAAATTTTAGTGCGGTCAGAGCTGCAAAGGCACCACGACGTGCTCAGACGAGAACAGCTAAGAAGTGGGGGTCATAGGATTGAGGCCACCGTCGGCAAGGGTGAGGCAGGTGAGAATCTTGCCAAGGATCTGGATGGGATGCTGCTTTGTTCAAGACGGAGCAGAAGCAAACGCGATGCAAACGGCATCGTGACACTGACGCTTCGCGGAGACTCAGGCCCAGGTCAAAGCGGCAAGCTCCCTGACCTTCTCCACCGGCCGCCGTGCCGAGTGGCAAGGTGGAAGGTGGAAGGTGGAGTCATCTGGGCTCAATCTCAGGCAAACCAGGACCACGTGCCGACGACCGCGGTTCCGGCGCCAGAGCCCCGACGGCTTGCTGTCATCCACCGCAGCCCGCGCCTGTCTGGCCGAACAAAGGGCCGTGGTAGTTGGGCTCTGAGCCTTGGGAGGCTGATGGCTGATGGCCACAAGCTCGATTTGGCGACAGGCATGCTCTTGTCCTTGTCAGGGAAGGCGAGGTGGTTTCACGAGCACACAGCGCCTATCGATTCGCTGGAGGAACGAGCGCCAAGCCCTGGAATGAAGCCATCAACAGCCACTTTGGAAGCCTGAAAGCATGAATGATTATTATTAGAGTCCGGCAAAGCGTATGGATGGAATAGGATGAAGCACCAAACAACAGGAATTATTCCAAATAGCCGGCATGGTCCAGCTGAGGAGAGCTCCTGACGGGAGCCCGCCACGTACGTTTTACTTGTAAGTGGACGTATCGTGCGCCTGTCAAACGGCGCAAAACAAGCTTAGAGAACAAGTTTTCTCTCCTTCCCTGCTATGGCTTTCTACCAATCCGGCAACTATCCGAGAAGGAAGAAGCAAAACACCGTGGACAATGCTCCTGCGCACGTTGCTGCCATGTGTCTATCCGTAGGGAATGCTTGTTAGTGTTTCGCTTCATCGCGAAGCTTCTCCAGATCACCACGTTGTCCAAAAGTCCTTCAAACCTGGTACTTGCCTCACCACCGGCAAAAAAAAGAAGAAGCAGCAGCAGCAGCACTACTGCACCTGGACCCTTAGAGACAGATGGAACTTTGCCGGCCTATCCTGCGCCGAGTCATTTGACTTCAGCTCCCAGGTCCAACCCCAAAAGGCCTGGGTGCGTGCCGCTGCAACGAGCCTAATGCCCTTGTCAACCCAACCTGCCAGCCAACCGGCCACGGTGGAACAACAAGTCTTGGGCTAAGGTAGACGCGGGAAATATACAAAGTTTAGAAGCGCCAATCTGTCGAAGTCTAGATGGTGCCATGCGCAGGCCGCCGTCGCTCCTCGTGTCTTGGGCCAATGCGGCTATGAAGCTGTGCGCCGGTGCAAAGTCAGTTTTCGAAGGCGGCGCCAAGGAATGCCTCGAGATGGGGGCTAGTTGCCAGTAGCTGGCCATGGTCAAAGTCGATTGGAGGAGGAATTGTTTGCTGCTACTGTACGGGATAATGAAACGGTGTAATACAGGGATGGGGCTCGCAAGGCAGGGAGGAATAGAGACAAAGAGCACAACCGCCGTGCGTCTGATAACCGAAAGCCTTTTTGCATCTGACGACGACTAGCAAGCTCCAACCCTCAATAAACCGTTGGAGAAGCTCCGGGGCCCCCGTTTTTTTCGTGCCAATGTTATCCCGGCACCAACGCAGCCGCCACTGCTGAACCGAACCCGATACCCGTCAGGTCAAGGACGAAGCTCATCATCACATCATTTGCATTCCTTCAAATGTGACGTCGTGAGTGTTTCTGGTGGTGATATGCATGAGCATTTTTGTGTCTAGTCTACTTTTGATGGAAAGCAAAGCAAGAAAAACCCGCAAAACAAAACAGGAAAGCCATTAAAAAAAAAATTATGCAGAAAACCGCATGAGAATGCCCACCGAAGGAACCCGACTTTTTGGAGAAAACAAGAGCAAAAGCAAAAAAAACTGCCGAAGAAAGAAAGAAAACAAAAAAGTGACCCCAAAATGACATCCAATAAGACAAAAGACTCCATCGACGCAAATTAACAACCACTCCGGACGTCCTCTTCAGCCCTTTTTGCCCAAAAAGCGAAGACACCAAACGCCCATGTCCATGTATCTATCCCACATCGTATACATCGTAAAGGCTGTCCAATGGCCGCGCGCTCCGCCCTCTCCCTCTCCAGCCCCGAGAAGCAAATGGTGTGTCTTGATAAACTCGCGCCACTAACCCACCCCCGGCCGTCGGCCAGTCACGCTCCAACAACGTCGACTTCCCGAGGCTGCCAGCTCAAGCGCTAGCCATGCAAGCTTCGTGCAATGAGAAGTCCCTGTCCCAGTTTTTCTCCTCTGTTTCTCTTCTTCGTTGTGCAACTATCTCTTGAGCCGTTGCCCCGCTTCCGGCCCAGGCAAGGCAAGTTGCACCGCGCAACCATAGCCTATGGCTGAAGGTACCCAGGTACTTTGTCTTGTGACGGGCCTCAATTCTGTCGGCAGATAGCCTCAGAGGGCTCGCTCGCACGCTCGCTCACTTCATTCAGAGGGGGGTGAAGGATGAAGAACCTCGTCGAAACTGGGCCAAGCCACTATCGTCGCTGGCAGCTGAGGCTAAGGCGGCCTTGGCTGGAATAGCTGAAGACAAAGAGGCAGTCGCAATACTATTAGTAGCATGAGCAGTAGTGCACCCCTCATGTAAGTACGAGTAAGTCGCAATAAGCAGTTTCTCCGCACTCAAAATCTCAGAAATGGTGCAAGAGGCTTGAAAGCTTCAATATTTTGCTTGTGCTAGGTAGTAGGTATCTTTGCTGTATAGTAACTGTACCCAATGGGTCGGCCTGCATGAGGAAATAAACACATGCCAAGGCTAAAAGGAAAAAGTGAGAGAGAGAGAGAGAGAAAAAAAGGACCATGATAAAAATACACCAGTTCGTAAGATTCATTGGCAAGTCAACCGCTCTAATAGTATGTCGGCAGATGTAAGTCGAAACTCTGACGGATCCCAGCGAGGCTGCTGTTTGGTGGGATGGATGCATGTAGTCAGAGGGAGGAGAGCTAGGGGACAGGGGTGTAAACTGTTTGATGACGCCGCTGCGGTTTGAAGCGCACAAGTTCCCCCGGGTACGAATTTTGGCTTCTTCAAGTCTCCCGCCGGCGAATCTCCTTTCGTTTCGCTTGCAGGGATGTCTTGCAGGTAGGGCATTCGTAACCATGGCGGCTGATGTAGATTCTCTTCAGGCATTTGGTGCATCGCCACCAGGTATGTGAAGCATTGCGACCTTCGAACCAGTCCTCTTTGGCGGCAACTCCACGCTTCTCAATGTCTTCCTTGTGAAAGTCTCTCAGGTGGTCGCGGAAGTGATCCCGACGGTGAAACGGATCTCGGCGCCGACCGCAGCGGGCGTAATCGCAATGGTACGAGTCCTTCTGGGACGACGGAGCATGCTTGTGCTTGTAGTGCCGGTCAAGATCGGCACGACGCTTAAAGGGTTTCGCATCGCAGCCAGGGTGGAGGCAGCAGACTGGATAGTCACGGCCACTCGAGGCAAATCTATGCTCAAATCGGTTAACTACACCAATTCCGCTGGCCGCTGCTCCGACGCACAAGGTTAACTTACGATGGCGATTCAGTTGTTGTTGGCGAGGTCACCTCCTGGCCAGTAGTGGCATCCGGGCTGCTGTAAGCAGATGTCGCAGGCGTGCTGGTGCTTGCATATGGCGGGAGGTAAGATAAGCTAGGGGTCGGCGACGTCTGCTGTGTGAAGAAGGAGTCTGTCGACACGGGCGATGCGGGGGAGCTCGCTTCTGATCCCCATTCAGAGCCCCCGTACTGAGACAGAGGCTGAGAATCGCAGAGCTCAGCAGCATCTGCCATGGAATTGTAGTCGTTTCCGTCAAAGGAAAACCAGTCGCCATATGGCAGGTTCTCTTCGCACAGCTGCGCCTCTTCGTACATCAGGCTCTGGTCATACAGCTGAGCTTCGGTGCAGAGCTGGAAGTACGTGCTGACTTGCATGTCGTCCGTCATCGTGTCCGGTTATACGGAAAGACAGTCAATGACGAGCAAACGATGGCTGAACGAGGCTGAGCCGTTGTCGAATGCTGAACTAGACACTTGGCATGCAATTGCCCGTCCAAGTCAGTGTGAAGCTGTGTGTAGACGTGTGTAGTCAATTGCCAAGTGAGTCCAAGTGATGACCCTTGGCAATGGAATAAGAGAATGGGGATGAAGATGAGGTTGTGAATTGGAATGATATAGAGAGGCACGGAGAGTCAAGAGACGAGGGCAGTCGGTGGCTTATGAGTCCAATGCTCGAGGGAGCGATGCGGGCGGTAGTCTATATGCATGGCCTGCCAATCTGGGTGTGACCAGGGGAAGGGCCGTGTTTATTTCAACCAAAAAAAAATAAAGAGAAAAAGATAACGAACCTTGAACCTCGTACTCTTGGGGTAACATGCGTACCAAGCTTCTAGAAGCTATCTAGATTTAGTGTGTATGGGACCCGGCAGGGCGGAAATGGGTCCTCAGGATGCTCTTCAGAAGTACCTCCTCCAACCGTGACGTAGAGGAGCGAGTACACTAGCTCGTTAATTCGATACAAGCCGTTGTAGAGGGGCGTCCCGGCAAGTTGAGGTATCAGGCTTGGGGGTCTGGTATTGAGCCGGAGCCCGCCTTGTACCGCCCAGTAAGTTTGGCAGGTACTGGATGCTGTGCAACATGCAGAATGGTCAGAGCCATGTGGAGATGGATGGTCAGACCCTGGAAACCCTTTGGGAATGGCGAGAAGATCAATGAGCAACCGGGAAGTACAGTACATCCATTCCCACACAGCAACTCGTCAACCACATGCTCTGCCCCCAAGCCATTGCCCGTTGGCCAATGCCCTTTGGCCAGTGCCATCTTTTGACTGCCCACTGTTTCCAAATCCGGCGTCGTTGTAGTTACGACTTGATCCTGTTCATGACTTTGACAGCTCGTGCGGCTGAGTTGATGGCGGCCACTTGCTTCCAAGCCAATCCAATCCGTCCTACTCTGCCATGTTGCTAGGAGCTCTTGTCTCGACTTCGATACCCGAGCCCTCTATCCAGCTAGTGCAGAGTAATGAGCACATCATACTCCGTATAAGTAATTTGCAGGGAGCATCCTTCTTTCTTCTTCCGAGACCCGAGTGGGTAGGGGAAGAGGAAACCCCCGGCCGCCGCGCCCCCCCTCCCATCCCAGACTAGCAGAGAATATGGCAATGCGTAATGTTGCATGTACTCGTACCATATGTACATAGTATTCGCCAATTCAGCATCTTGACCTTGTTTGCCGAAGACAGAAACGGTGGAGCGCGCAGAGATCCCGGGCACTAAAACTAGCGAGAATCGAAACAAACAGTGTTCATCGACAAAACTCAAGACCCGGCTCATTCGGCAACGCTAGATTTCATGTAAGGTGCTCAACGCCCATTGGCCGAGGGCAACAATAGACAGAAAACCGTTGCAAAGTCGGCACAGCACCACCACCAAGCTCCAGTTTGAGAGCAAGATGCATGCACGCAAGAATGCGGCAGTCTTGAATGTAACCACAGGGTCCTCAACCTTGGAATCTCAAATACTGTAGCGGGTGCTCCTCGTAATTGTAGACCAGGAAATGCAGCCACATAGCACCAACACGAGGAGCGAATCCTCTCAGACAGTTGACGTGGAGAGAAGACCATCAGATGGTTAGCTACCCTGTGTGCCAAGTCGACAGTGCCCTGAAATCGCAAAAGCCCATGCCCTCTAAAGAAACGAACCCACTTTGGGCAATAAGATTTGCCTTTGTAAAGGCTAGCACGAGTGCCTGTTGCTCTTATAGCAAAGTACCTTTTGGACCCCTCAACCCCCACCTTATGTGCGAATACGCACGCAGTTCTCGAATCCCGAATCCCAGTGACCAGCACGGGGGGGTGTCTGGCCATGAGCCTCAAGATGCAGCTACAGGCATGTTGGCATCAGATGTCGGTCCACTAGCGAGCCAATAATGAACCGATAGTCGTCGCTCTTGGGAGGGTGGGCGCAGTGACAGACAGGCACGTAGGGCGCCAGTCCAGGTACGAATTGCCAGGCGTGGTGACACCTCAAGGAGGATTTTTTTGGGGGCTCATTTTTCATTTTTGGACAACAGTTCTCTGGTGGGACCAAGTAACAAGGAGCAGGCGCCAAATGGATTACCGTAGCAGATGAGTGTTTGTATCCCCGAGCATGGTATGAGGGCGTGTGGGATGCCCCGCGGGTGCCAGGTTTGGCTCAATGGAGCTTTGTTGGAAACGATATTATACATTGAAGCCACATAATGATAAGTGCCATATTGCAGGCAAGATATCCAGATATCTCATGTGGGTGTGATTTGAGGTAGATTGATACGGCTAACATTGAGAGCCAGAGCAGCACTGGCATATCGGTTGTGCCATAACACAAAGTAGCCTGCCAGCTTTCTGGGCTGCTTCCGCAATCGAGAGGCTTTCTCTACCGGCGTATGCCGAAAGCATCGTCGACTGTAATCGACTGTAATCGACTGTAAGCATTGTTAGTCGGGCGTACGTGACAAACAAACCTACACCTGAGGCTGGATTTTTCTCATTCTATGCCCTAGACAAGGAACCGTCCCTAATAATGTGTCTGCTGAATGCCTATTCGTGCTGCCAGGTCATCAAATGAGTAAACGAACAGGCTATGCCCCCACCATTTCGCAACGTGGCGCACGCAGTCCTGGAAAAATTCTGCAGAATGAAGCCATCGCAACAGTGGTGACACCCTTGTGTAAGTGATGACTGTGTATAGAACAGTGGTGGGACATCATTGTGTAAGTGATGACTGAGTATAGATCAGCATTGATCTAGGCCCCCCTGCGCTTCGAGGCCGTGATGATCGGCATGCAGTGTTGCATACGGAGCACCCACGCGTTTATTCATTGGGTCTAGCTCTGAAGATGTATTTGGCCGCGGCCATGGGTATTGATACGGACCTAGGTGGGCGGCGGCGGGAGAGTAGCAGAGCAACACCAGGGTAATCATCTGCACCTAGCCCCTTTATCAGCCGGTTTAGCAGAAGCCAGTATTAGGTAGTTTCCATGGGATGGGCGATCTCGCAGCCTAGACTTACAGACTACAGTATGTCTCTCCGCAAGTGGTAATACCACACATGATCTCTTTGATGTTCAGGTTTGCCCTGACGCGCGCGGGAAGCTGGGTGTATGCTTCATGCATCCCACTCAGCATCCGATTGATGGAACGTAGCCCGACTTCAGACTGCATATCCGGGATGCCAAGACAATTCCTTCCGGAGATGGCAGATTCTGAACGCAATAGACGCAGTATCAAATTTCCTCGCCTTGCCTAAATGACGCCTGCCAGCCTTGGCCCGATGCCTGTGCGCCAATAACTTGGGCACGCCATGGTCAGAGGAAACAGCTTGCGAGTGCCATCTGACAGGAGGCGGTCTGCGTTTGGAGTGAAGAATGCAAATGCCGTGCCGTCTCAACAAAAAAAGAGACACCCCCAAAACGCCCGGCTGTAATAAAGTTGCATGCTAGAAGCAAAAAAGGAAAAAAGGAAAAAAAGAAAATTTTCATCGTACCTAAGACAACAAGGAGCTGTGAATTGCCTCCCGATACGTGGGAGAAAAGAACAGCGATGATGCACGATGTGCGCCTTCCCAGAGCGCTAGGACGCTTTGGATAACGGCAAGTGCAAGTGAACTCGGCAAACGATGGCAGGACCCCTTGGAAGGAGAAGGGAACACAAAAAAAGGTTGGGTTAGAACAAACCGGAAAATTCCAAAAACACCAAATCCTGTGCATATCAGGCCATGCAGGATGAGAAAGGCCGGCGCTATGACGTGGACTGGGCACTTTTCTAGAAAACTTTTAAGTTCTCATTCTTTCAGGCTAATTGATCCCCTAGCTCAACACCAAGCCCTTCTTGATGCTTGATGCTGGGGCTACTGTCTGTTGCTATCTGATGCTTGCATGTGCTCGTATGCTAACACTGCGTGCTACTGTGGTAGTATTCGGCTGATGGGCCGGACCAAGGAGAACCAAGGAGAAAAATCCCCGCAACAATCACCGAACTCAATCCGGGATGACGAGCGTTATCGAAATTCACTTGGCCTTAGCTGCATTCAATGCGTGAATACACTTGAATGCCTTGACATCTCGGGCCTCTTTGTCATCATTATCAAAACCCCTGGCGGCGTTGACGTCGTTGACATCGTTGAAATCCTCCTCCTCGATCTCGTCGCCACCAACCAGTGCCGGGTCTCGACCAGGCGTCCAGTTCATCCGGTCCCTGGCAACGGGCACGTCACCAAAGATCTGGGCCATGCTGATCCAGTGCATGCAGTGCTGCAGATACTCTTCGTTCTGGTTGGCCCTGGTCTCGTAAGCCTTGATAAGCAGCTTCTGCTGGGCAACTTCCTTCTTCAGCTCCTCAATCTTCAGCTCAAACTCCTCCATGAGCTCATACTGCGCGTCCTGCTCAGCTCGCAAGGCGCCCAGCTCACCGGTGGTGGTCCAGCCGGCTGGAGTCTCGGGACGGCGGTCGTAGCGGTCACTGTCCTTGTTGAAGAGCAGCGTAAAGGTTTTGGCAACTTTGTGGAAGACGTTGGCCTTGAGGTTGACCGTGCTGGGATCCGTGACTTGAATGTTCTCGTCAGAGTCTTTCTCATTCTCAGTTGAGGTTGGAGTCATGTTCCCTTGTTGATTGGCGGAGGAGCCTTTCTTCTTGTACGAGTTGTCGTACCACGACACAGACTTTGAGTCGCCACCCATCGTTGTAATGATCCTAACCCATTGAATAAGCCACTGTGAAGAATCTCCTTGCAGCAATGAAAATGTACTCACCGTAACGTAGGTTCAAGTCGTGACTGGAATTGTTATCTTTCGCTCAGGGAGATGGAAGATCTGTATGGAAGCAGTTCACCATCCCAAGAAACTGAAAGCGAGGCATGGGTTATATACCTCTTGTGACCGAAGAAACGAAGCAAACACCGCATTCAAACGCCGTTGTCGTCCCATCTTCAATGCTCAGTCGGGGTTGCCTCTCTTCTGTGAATCACAACAGTTGGCGTTGATAACCCTTACACGCCCCCCTGTTGCAAACAGAATTCTGGAACTCTTTCGTTTCGCTGCCAATAGCAAGACTCCAGTGTACAAAGGTACATCGCATTCGTTTGCTCAACCCATCCTCATCGTACGATCTCCCATCATACCCACAATTCCCCCCTCATTCATACCTCAATGCCAAGACACCCAAACAACTCCAACCCAGACGGACGGGCATCAATACACAAGTGTAGCGATGCGGACGCTTTAGGGTATTAGAAGGCTGGTATGAATATCCCTCACCAGTTCTGTATCTCGTCTCGTAAACGTCGCTGATGATGAGATCCCCCTGAATGGAGAACTTCGAGATGCTAAATGGTCAACATATCAAGACAACAAACGAGAGTCCCCTCAAACAAACTAGCTTCCGATGACATCTCTCCAGATCGAATGTGGATCCTGGTACCCCTCTAATACTGTCAACTTCGTCGGCCCGTACCTGCATTGGAAATTACAAGGCAACTCTAGATCCGCGACCCTCAAATGTCAGATCTAGACGCTGACAGCAGCATGGACATGGGCAGCAGATGCCACACACACACACACACCAGATGCACAAGCACAAGTGAGCGAGGCGCACATACCAACTCTCCACTTGCTCAAACGGTCAGATTATACTGCTTTGGCGAGTCATGCCTCGACATGATGCAGTAGCATTTTCGCCCCCTTTGGCCACCATTCCCCGCTTCGCACTCCGTAAAGGACGGCAGAGTCGTGAGGGGCTCGATAGCAGTATCTACAAGCATCTTGACTCGGGCAACTTTGCGGGGGGTGGGAGATATACAGTACTTCGTATGTTGATGTAAGAGAGAAATGGGCACCAGACCACCTCCCGCTGCCACGAGAAGACCATGATAGGTTCCAACAGCCCTTCCAGAAGGATGTCTTGGCGCATCCTATTGATACCCCTAGGAGAAGGGAGGATTCTGGTAGCTACCCTTAACTTTGGGGCGCAATTGTCGTCTCTATTCGCTTCGAGCCCCATTGATAGCACTGTGCGTCGGAGAATATGCTTGACTCTCACTTCTTTGCCCGGGAACGAGCATGTTCCTCGATGACATCATGTTTTCCGCAGAGTGTTAAAGTATAATTCATGAACCGTACGAGTCATGGGATGAGAGATCTTGCGCCTCATGAAGGCTTCAGCATCAATGTCGGAGATGCCGAATCTTCATGAGATGCCTTTTGTATCAACCCAACATAGTCTCTGTAGAGCATTAAAGCATAATTTGGTAAGCGTACTTGCCATGGACTGAGAGGCCTTGCCCCCCTGAAGGCTTCAACATCCAATGTCGTGGATGCCCAGTCATGCCGTGCCTGCTGTGTCAACTCAATTAGCATCCCAACATCCAATCCACAACTACCAAATCATTCACACTCTATCAAGCAAAGAGTGAAGGAGGAGAAAAAGCCAAAAGGGCAAACAAATTCCCTGTGCGGATGAAAACGGCCGCCTCATATGGATTATTCTGGCACTAGTTATTCCCGTTTGAGAAACCCAACTTTGGTAGCGCATACTCGCGGCTACTATGATGCTCTCTTAGAACTCCCATAAAGAAAAGAAGAGGAAAAAAAAAAAACTGTCATGGAAAAGCCACGGAAACAAGAGCGAAAACAACATAAAAGTCCCAGCCGAGCCCGTGCGTCCCATCATAAAAGCCAACAACTACCTAAATGTCATCCTCGAGAAATTTGTAAGCAAACTTAAAGTCAGCCTTCCTTCGATTCATCCTATTGTGGGGGGGATATGTTAGCAGGTTGAACTCGGGCAGAGATGGGAAAGGGGTCCTCACCAAGTACTCTCGTAATCAAAGAACCGGTAAGTGCCCTGCTCAAATTCTTCGGTAATATTCTTGGGCTCTTCGTGTCGCTGGAACCATGTTTGGTACTGCTTGTGGAACCGCCAGCTCTGGTCTTTCAGTGCTTTTGCAGCCAGATATTGTTGTGCTGTTCCCTGCTTGTAGTAGAAAACGTAGAACAGAGTATCTGGATCAATCCTCGAGTAAAGCCGCGGGTCATCAAATATGGGCAATGGCTGCGTAGGGAATCCAGAACCAGTTTGCGGCACAGGTAGATCGGGGCGATACGTCCGTGGGATATCGGCTTCGAAAGCACTTGGATAGCTGAGCTGACTCGATTTCATTAGACTAAGCGTTGACTGCGACAGAGGCTGGTACGGTCGATTTCGTGCCGTCTCATACGAATCAACGAGATCTTGTAACGATGCAGGTAGGTGGTAGATGGACTCCTCTTCACGTTCTTCCGCAGTAGATTTGACACCGTTGGTGGATCCGTTGGTATGAGGGGCTTTGATTCAAATGTTAGCACAGACGGTTCAAGTGATGACAGCAGAGAGGGGAGTGATGAAGAGATGAAGATGGAACAAGTTGTGCTCCAAGACAGCGACCTACCATTTGAAGACTCGGACTGTGATGCCTCCGAGGTAGCCGGCTGCTTCCCTGACGCCTTGGATTTCTTCGTCGGTTTCGTACTTGGAGGCTCGGCATTCTCGTTGGCGACGGGTGCGGGTGCAGGTACCGGCGCAGCCACAGGTGCAGGCTGTTTGGGTTCCGAGGATTGTGGCGTCGGTGCCTGAACGGGCTGCACGAACGAGACGGCGGGGGAGTTTGTTGCGCTTGTCCTCGACTGCGCGGGGGGCAGCGGCGAGATGCCCATGTTGAAGCCAGGCGGCGGCGGCAGAGGAGCGATGCCGACGTTGTTCTTGTCGCTGGCAGCGGCGGCGGCGGCGGCAGATGCATACTTGAGCCCCTCCCCTGCCGGCCTTGTGGGGATGGAAGCAGGCTTCATGGCAGGGCTACCGCTCCCCCCATTCCCTATCGTTGATAACGGCGTATGCAACGTCGCTAGAGCCGGTAAGGGGGACTTGGACTGCACAGATTTCGTCCGCGTTGACGACGCCACGGAGTCGGTATCCTTGACGACCTTCTTCGCTTTAGGCGGCGGTTCGAGATCGTGGATGTCGTCTTGTATGGACTGGGTGTCCTGAGACGAGTTCTTTTCCGTGTCCTGGTTCATGCCGAAGACGCCTTCCTCTTCCTCCAGGTCTAGCTCGTCGTAGATTTCTTCGTCGTCCATGTAGTCTTCGTTCATGCCGTCGGACACATAGTAGCGAATCTGCTCTTCCAAGCCATTGACCTGATCGGTATCGATGCCTCCGTTCTCCAGTGTTCTTCGGATCAGCTCCAGCTTGCCCTGATGCCACTTATGTCGCTCGATTATCTGGTCGATCTCGGCCATGCGGTTCTCTTGGGCGGTCTTATGCTTGCCCTTTTTCAGGGTGGCTTGTATGGATTCGTTCTCGGCTTCTAACGTCTCGATCTGTAGCTCCAGCTCATCAACCATGTTGCTCAGAAACTCGCATGCCTCTACTTTGGCCTGTTCTTTGGGATCTAATTTCGCAGCAGCCTCGAGGCCCACTTTGGAGTATGCTTTCGTCTTCATGGCCTTCTCCACGGCCTTGAACTTTTCCATTTGCTAAAAGGCGAGAAGAGAGTACATCAGTATGCGCCGGCACATGCATCAATGCCCAACATTACTGGGGGTCCACCAACAGTCTCAATCAGTTTGCGGTGCTCCAATAAGGGAGCCTTGTCCTTGATGTCGTTGCTGGCGGCCCATGTTTTGATCTGGTCGCGCAGTCTTTGCAACTTCTTGATTTCGCGCTTGAGGTTGTCTTCCAGCTTCTCCTTCTGGGCCGGGTTATTTGACTGCTCAATCTTTTCGTAAATGGCTTCGAACTCGGCAACGCCTTCCGCCACCTTTTTGAAGCACTTGTCGACTTCTTGTTGTAGTTTCCTCGCCGCCATTTTGTCGGGTAGAGGAGGGAGAGAAAAGCCCGAGTAGCGTCCTTTCCGGTTGTGCCTGTGCCTGTGGAAATCCGCAGCGGTCCTGCAAAGGGGGTGAGAGTTCGTCAGAGGGGAGGTCGAGACTTGGTCCGTTTTCGTGGGGCAACCTTTATGGCCGAAGGTATGCAGGCGAGATCCGTCATGCGCCACGTGACAGTTGCAGAGCAGGAGTGCGCGGCAAAGAAGCGACAGAGGCGGCCGTCTCGAGAGGATTTCCGGAGCGCTGTCCAGGCGTCGTTGTGGCGATATCCAGCCGGGAAAGCGGTTGAAAGCGTTTGACGTGCGAGATTGAAGTTGATGAGGCCAAGTCGCGAGGCTGCACGGACTAGCAGGTGGCATGTATCGATTGCTGTGCGGCAATTAACCGGCCGAACAAGGATTGCGGCGGAAAATTATTGAAAGTGCCGTATAGCCCTATTTGAATTCCATTACCGACCATGAGACTTCTTGTACGCTGCAATTGAATATTTTATATAGCGGCATCTCCCAGTATTTACAGGGGGTTCTCCTACTCGAACCCAATTGTCTCTATCAGGAGGTACTTGCGCCATGTGGGATGTCTGATAAGTGGCTACGCCGTTTCTCACATGACACAGAATTGATACGCGATTCAAGGCATTTACAAATTATCGGGGCTTCTCTTCCGCTGCCAAGGCGTTGAGAGCTCACCGGTCTCGCTACCAAGCCTCTTGTTTTCTCTTCTTCTTTTTGCTATTTGTCCGGCGAAACCTTGTCTCTCTTTTGTTATATGTTGAGTGAGGGGAAGCAAGGCTGTCGAAATTCAAGGTTTTTTACCCTACCTATTCTTCTCTAGTCATTCCCGCCTACGGTGCTTTTTGGTGCCGACACCGGCTTTCACAATGAAGGGTAGGCAAAATTTCATGTATGCAAGTTACCGTAGCATGGCAATATCATCTAATACGACTTCCCGTGTAAAGCAATTCTCCAACGTGTGCTCTCTGCGTCTGTGACGGTGGAAAAGGAGCTGGTGTCGTCGATTGGCCGAGGCGTGCTGGTGTTTGCGGCGGTTGCGCCTGGTGACACGGAAAAGGAGGCCGATTCACTCGCCAACAAGGTGGTCAAGATGAAACTTTGGGATGACGAGGAAGGAGGACGAGTAAGTGAAGCCTCCCTGTTGGGCTGTGAGACACAGCTGAAGCTGATGATTGGCGATAGTGGAAAAGGAGTGTAACAGACATTGAGGGCGAGGTTCTATGCGGTGAGTATATTGGCTGCTTGGCGTTCTTCTCGCCATGTTTCAAGACTCATATTGACCGGAAAAAAACCAGTATCTCAGTTTACCCTGCTGGCAAAGACGAAAAAGGGCACCAAACCAGATTTCCATGGCGCGGCAAATCCCGAAGAAGCCAGTCGGCTGTATCACTACTTTGTGCAGAAGGTCAAGGATCTTTACCAGGTGGACCGAGTCAAGGATGGGAAATTCCAAGCCATGATGGAGGTTGCTCTTGTTAATGATGGACCGGTAAGTCACCATTACTCCTGGCCTAGAGCCAATCTCTCTCTCATTGTCTTTGCTGACGCAGGATTGATATCGTTGGCATTTTATAGGTTACGTTGGAGCTCCAAGCCGGGGCCCCAGTGTCTGAGAGATAGCGTGGAACGAATGATGGCGACATGATGCATACGATGAATGTGATAGAATTCAATACAGTATAGTATATAGATAGATGGGTAGATTATATGGATTCCCTTGTTTGTATACATGGTGGTGCTTGATGCCTAAAGAAGTGCCGGGCTGCTGCCGGTTCATGTGGGCTATGGCTGATGATCCGATGGCGGCATTTTTGGTCCGAGGCAACGACAGGTGACTGATGATATGCATTGATTGCAAGCTTGAGTGCTGTATTAAGATGAATAGAGAGAATAAAGCTCTGGAGCTGGAGGCCATCAGTGTCGGACGGTATCAATCACAGCAATTTCATGCTTGGACATCCACGGTGAACTACAGCGCTGGTAGCTTTACTTAGCAGCATATTACATCAATACATTGGCGACAAGGTTCCCCCCCCCCATGCAGCAGCGCATGCAGGCTGCTAACGAGCATGACGATGCTGTAGATTATGCACATGCTCCTCTTGTATCAACTGGTTGTCTGTATGTACATCATCCATATTGGACCCATGCAAATGCGCTGCGGCCCAGAAGCCACCAGCCACTCACCTCTGCTAGAAACTTCCACGGCAGCGGGGGTTGGACACTAACGCTGGCACTAACACCATTGAATGCTTTGGCGAAACCCCACTGCAAGCACTGATGCTGCCTGATCCGATGGAGGGGCAGCGGGCACAGCAGAAGCAGAATGGAGGGGCAGAGAAACCTCCAGCTACTGAAATTAACGTGCTGCTTGCTGTGCTGTCTGATGTCAGCTGCAGCCCGTTTTCGTTGCCCGTTGGGCTTACAGGTACGAGCTTAAGCATCCATGAGCCCAAGATTAGCAGCAGCATCAATAAGTAGGAATTGAGCCAAAATGCAACGCATCCAATACGACCTAATTAAGGCTGTACCTTCGTACCAAGCAGTAGCGGCACTATAGGTGCTGCAAGAGGTACCGCAACACTGAGGTATCGACCGATTGCAAATACTAGGTACACTGCATCCAGCTTCTCTCTCTCTGCCGGCTGCCTCTGATCTGCCGTATTAGCTTCCAAGTTCCTCTCTGTAGCTCCCCTCATCTCCTCCCCTCTCTCTCCTCGCTCTTCCTCATCTCCATTCATCCTAATTTTCTCCCTCTCGCAATTCTTCCCATTTCCAGCCCGCCTTTGTCTGCCTCGCTTGGCCAAAGCACCCGTCGCTAGCTCGACCCCGCATCGTCATATTCAAAGAACCCCAAGGAATCTTTGCAAGCAGCCGTGCTTTGCTTCCTTCGGCCGCTTCGCGACTCGCCAGCTTTTAAACCTCAACCTTTTCCTCCCTCTCCTTTCTCCCCAGACACCAATTGGATTTCCTTCTCCCTTCTCCCTAATACATTCCGCTTCTCTTCACATCTCCCGCCATGGCTTCCGAAACCGAGACCAAGGCCACGCGCCCTCGCGTCTTCTTCGACATTACTCTTGGAGGCAAGCCTCTTGGCCGAATCAACATGGAGCTGTACTCTGATCTCGTGCCCAAGACGGTTGAAAACTTCCGTGCCCTTTGCACTGGCGAGAAGGGACTGGGAAAGTCAGGCAAGCCCCTGCATTACAAGGGCTCCGTCTTCCATCGAGTCATCAAGCAGTTTATGATTCAGGTATGGGCCGAGCCGCCAACATTGCTCCCTAGCTCTGGTCGCACGACCTCCACGAAGAAAAACTTTGTCTAACATGGCTTTTCCAGGGTGGTGATTTCACAGCTGGAGACGGCACTGGCGGCGAGTCCATCTATGGCGCTAAGTTCGAGGATGAGGCTTTCCCCAAGAAGCATGACAAGCCCTTCCTGCTATCCATGGCCAACGCCGGCCCTAGTATGTTGCATCCTGCTATGTGTGCTCCCTAGCTGCGGCTAACCCATGTGCTTTCACTTAGACACCAACGGCTCTCAATTCTTCATCACCACTGTCCCCACGCCTCATCTCGATGGCAAGCACGTGGTCTTTGGCGAAGTACTCAACGGCAAGTCCATCGTCCGCCAGATCGAAAACGTCCGCACCGAGGCTGGCGACCGACCCTCCCGCGAAGCCGTCATCGCCAACTGCGGTGAGCTCTCCGGAGACGAAGCCCTCAGCGCCGACGTTAAGCAGCCCGATGCCTTGGGCGACCCCCACGAAGATTTCCCCGAGGACTGCGCTACGCCCCCCGATGCCAAGACCACCTTGAAGATCGCCTCAGACTGCAAGGACTATGGCAACAAGGCCTTCAAGGCCGGCAACCTTACTCTCGGCCTTGAAAAGTACGAAAAGGGCCTGCGGTACCTCAACGAGGAGCCCGATCTGGATGACTGGCCCGAAGGCAAGGCCCAGCTCGACGCCCTCCGCTTCTCCCTTAACAATAACTCTGCCCTTTTGCACCTCAAGCTGGAGGCATGGTCCGATACCGTCCGCAGCGCCACATCTGCCCTCGCCATTCCTGGCATCGGCCCCGCGGATCGGGCAAAGGCCTTCTACCGCCGTGGCTTCGCCAACGTCCGCCAAAAGGACGAGGAGGAGGCCCTGAAGGATCTTGAGGAGGCACACAAGCTGGCACCCAACGACTCCGCGGTCAACGTCGAGCTCAACGCCGTGCGAACCAAAGCCGCAGCCAAGGCGGCAAGGGAGAAGGCCGCGTACAAGAAGTTCTTTCAGTAAATGAACCTTGGTATTAAAAAAAAATTTAAACAAGAGAATATCACAGAAAAGAAAAGCAATATGCAGGATAAGGAATCGTGAGGGCGGGCAAGTGGTGGATAAAAGATTTTCAAGTATTCATTCAAAGCATGGGAGGCGTAAAGGTTAGAGCAAGAAAACCAGCAGACTCTGTGCTGCGATCGTCTATGTGGAAGAGGAGAAGGAATATACCACTAGCACACATACGAGTACACACACATACAAAAAAAAGTAAAAAATTATGTTGCCTTAAACGGCTTTATATGGTATTACATATCAAAGTGAACAAATATTGTCGAGTGACCAGAATGTCGTAGGTACAAAAGAGAACTTATTACAGCAAAGTGAAGCACCACAAAAGCACGATGACGATGACGATGACGCGGGAAGAAAAAAACCACATAGACAAGAAATAAGGAGAAGAAGAACGAACAGGTTATCTAGAAAGAAGAAGAAGAGGAAGAATAATAAAAGGTTAATATGGAAACCGTTTGCTTATTCCAAAAAAAGCCTTTCCCCCCTTCGATGCCCAACTACCACCACCACCAAGAAAAAAAAAAAAACTGGCAAAGACCCCATCTAACAAAATGCTTTGCCCGTTTTTTTTTTTTTCGCATAACATACATATATATTGCTCCCAAGACCCGACAACATCTCAAGGGAATCCTCATCCAACATTTGCTTTGCAAAAGAAAAAAAGGGCGGGAACGAGAAGGAAAATTAGAAAAGAAGAAGGAAGACACAAGAAAGAAAAAACCCCTCCGTTCCCCAAAAACAGGCACCACCAGTTTTGATATCAAGTGGGAATTGAAAAGAAAGGACTTCAGGAAAAAAAAAACAACAGGTAACGAGAGCAAGTTAAGCGGAGCTGGTATCTTTTTCCCCTTTTATTTTCTTCTTCTTCTTCTCTCTTTCCCTCATGTACCTCTAATATGCAATGTCATATCCCAAGGACCAAGCACGCGAGCCAAGCCCTCCAAGACAACAAGGGAAGGAAAAGAAAAAAAGACTAAAAAAGGGGGGGACGAAACTGCGAAAAATGTATATATGAAACGAGAGGACCTCCAGTGATGATGATGATGACTCCCCATAATCTATTCCAGCCCATCGATCCATTATGGAAAAGACAGCTTTGAAGACAATAGAGAGGGAAAATATATATCAAATGAAAGAGCGTAATGAAAGATGGGAGTGAAGCTTCGACAACTTTCTCCATGCAAGAGCCATTATTTCCCAACACCATTTTGTATATCCAACCGGAAAACGTCTAAAAAAAAAAGAGCCAGACAAGAGCTAGATGTAGGTAGCCTGAGTAATAGCTGAAAAAAGAAAAAAAAGGTGAGAAATGATAAGTATAACAAAGGTAATCAGGAGCTAGTGCAAAGGGGTTCTCCTCGTGTGGACTCATCGTTGGTTGATATCCCACAGTCCAAGTCATGTATATGTTTGTTTGTGCGTGTGTGTGTATATATATATCCAAAGAAGAAAAAGTGCGGGCTCATCTTTGCCCTTTAGTTTCTGGACTCTCGGCTCTTCCGCCACCAATCTTCATGATGCCGCTTAAAAGAGTCCTGCCAACTTTTCCGTTCTTCGGCTTCGCATTTCCACTGGCCGAGCCGCTTGTATTTCGGGGACTGCTTCCTTTCTTTGTGTCCGCCTCGTCTCTCCCGCGCTTCCATTCTTTACTGCGCCGGTTTTGTTTCGAATCGCCGCCCCCGTCGCTGCTAGAACTACCGGGGGGCCGCTCGTAGCTGCTGGGCATCGAGGAGGATGCATTTCCTACGTAGTATGGGTGATATGGCCCGGTAAAATTAACCTGTTCCAAGATTTCGGCAAGCTGGTCGGCCGACATGAACGAAGGAACCTCTCTATTCCGGTAATCCACCACTTTGGCAAGGCAGGCATCGGCGCGTTTTTGCAGCCCAAAGCATAGGTCGTTAAATATCAACAGCTCTCCATCTACTTGCGACTGCTTGACGTCAATGGGGCGCGAATCCACCCACAATTTGACAAGACTCGCGAAGCCTCGGGCCTGGTCGATCAAGTACGGTAGACTGGGGAATCCTTCGCGTGCCGTTGGGCCCAGGCGGTTCAGTATTGTGACAGGCGTGATGTAACTCGGGGGTAGGGCGCGGCCGCCTCGATCGGCCGGGATGCCGCAAACATGGTCGATAAAGCATCGGAAGGTCTGCCGCTGTTGAGTCAAGAAGCGGTTCATTGGTTCCATATATTCTTCTCGCTTTCCAAACGTGGAAAGGTTGGAAAGTTTCTGTAATGCCTTGGCAATGAGCGTCAAGGTACGTTGTGCTTGTGGTCTAGGATGATCTCGGAGCAGCCCAAACAGCTTTGGGGAGAGGATGGCTGGGCATATAAACCGCAAGAAGAGGAAGCCCGAGATAG